TCGATTCCCCCGTGTTAACCAAGAGGGATTTGAAGGCCCACCATCCTTCACCTCCAGAGTTTTGATTGCAAGCTGAGTTTCATCATCAGAAACCGGAGCGCCAACTGTAGAATGTAGACACCAGCAGGCACACAAGAAACTTCTTGTGCCTGCTGGTGCCCACAGGTCCCAGGTGTCCTGCAGGGCGAAACCGGGGAAGGGTAATGATCTAAACATTGTGGCGGCAGTGGGAACAAGGGCATCAAAACGAATTGATGAAATCCATCAAAATAGTGTGGTTAAGAAACGCTTCATCAAGTTATCCTGGGGCATACGACTCTTGATCAAAAATCAATGGTGTTTACATATGTTCTCTGTGGTTCCCTTGCCCGATGATGAGGTTGGCACAAGTAAAACATTGAGGGCGTCCCCATCTAGGGTAGATCCACTAAAAGATACACCGGGTTCAAAAACTAGACACTATTCAACAGTGATGCTGGCCAGGAAAATGTTTCAAAAACAATGGAACAATTGGCTAAATACTAGCACTTCAGAAACAATATCCAGTGAAATTTCGGTGAAGCAGTGGTTAAAGAGTTCAGACCACCTTCATCTTGGGTAATATCATCCAAGATAAATCGTACAAAGATAGATCTAGCTCCAACAAAGGGATGCATATATACTCAACACCCAGTTGGTGATTTTTTGGATCGCCCTGCCCCCCTCCCCAGTTACATTTCTGACTGACAGAAGGTAATGGGATTAAACACTGCAATTTCTTCACAGAGGGGTCGGAAGGTCAGACCACCTTCCATTGGTTTGTTTGAATTTGTCTTCCTTCCAGGCTGGCTGCCAAACAAAAAATGGTGAAATTGGCAGCTCTCCCTGGTTTCATTGCTTTGATCGCTCAGCATGCCGGAACCTGTCAAAAAAACTCCAGCATTCCAGGTAGTGAGGTCGAACCACCTCCTCTTCAAAAAATCAAAAATAAACATGGTTTGATGGTTTAGCCTGTTGAAAAATAAAACAATCCAGTCAGTGAAAGGGGTCAGACCACCTCCCTGCTGGCCATGCCAAACAAATTCTACAGTTTGGTTCCACAGCGCTGCCACTGGTGGCAACAAAATAATAAACAATCCAAAATAAAATGATCCAGTCAGTGAACAGGGTGAGACACTTCCCCTGCTGCCCAATCCATGCCAAAAAATTGAAACATCATGTGTTTTACATGGTTTGATTGTTTGATTTGTTGAAAAAAATTAGTCAGCGAGAGGGGTCGCCTCCCCTGCTGGCCATGCTGCAGAGAATTCTACAGCTTGGTTCCACAGCGCTGCCACTTGTGGCAAAAAAAACAATCGAAAAGAACTGAGAGGGGTCAGACCACCTCCCCTGTTCCATGCCAAAAATGTTTGAAATGTTGTGTTTGACATGGTTTATGGTTTGATGGTTTCATGCCATGCCATGTTGAAAATTATAAGGTTGCATTACCCCAAGGTTACATTACATTATGTTATCATGTTACCCCTGGTCACATCCAGCCCAGTCCCAACCATCCCTTCCCAATTCCCTTCCTACTTTTTCCTTGCCCTACCGCACCAATTTGGAAATTTTGCCGAAATTGGTTTTGAGCCATCTAGTTACCAATCCCATCTTACCCATTTTTTTTCCCAGCCCCAGTGTGGGTAACTTTGCCCACACTGGTCTTGAGCCAACTACATTACATCCCTTCCTCCCCTTTTTTTTGAAAGCTGGGAAGTCAAAGTCTTGAGCCATTTTGAGCCAACGTGTTCTTGAGCCAAATGTGTTTTGCAATCATGGGTTGGCAGATACATCGGAATGGCTGCTGCTCTGGCCGTGGGATCCAAAGTTAGATAACTTCAGGATCGGAGAACACACGTTTTCCGAAGGTGCAGGTGGCCTAAAACCAAAAACGGTCTATCGGTCTACATTTAACATCGGCAAGAAGAAAACGTACAGCAGCGTAGCATGACGTATGTGTGCAAGTGCAAGAAAACGCAAAGCAGCGTAGCATGACGTATGTGTGCAAGTGCAAGAGAACGCAAAGCAGCGTAGCATGACGTATGTGTGCAAGTGCAAGAAAACGCAAAGCAGCGTAGCATGACGTATGTGTGCAAGTGCAAGAAAACGCAAAGCAGCGTAGCATGACGTATGTGCATGACAAGTGCAGCCAAGTAGCGTAGCATGACGTATGTGTGCAAGTGCAAGAAAACGTACAGCAGCGTAGCATGACGTATGTGTGCAAGTGCAAGACGTACAGCAGCGTAGCATGACGTATGTGTGCAAGTGCAAGAAAACGTACAGCAGCGTAGCATGACGTATGTGTGCAAGTGCAAGAAAACGTACAGCAGCGTAGCATGACGTATGTGTGCAAGCGCAAGAAAACGCAAAGCAGCGTAGCATGACGTATGTGTGCAAGCGCAAGAGAACGCAAAGCAGCGTAGCATGACGTATGTGTGCAAGTGCAAGAGAACGCAAAGCAGCGTAGCATGACGTATGTGTGCAAGTGCAAGAGAACGCAAAGCAGCGTAGCATGACGTATGTGTGCAAGTGCAAGAAAACGTACAGCAGCGTAGCATGACGTATGTGTGCAAGTGCAAGAAAACGCAAAGCAGCGTAGCATGACGTATGTGTGCAAGTGCAAGAAAACGCAAAGCAGCGTAGCATGACGTATGTGTGCAAGTGCAAGAAAACGCAAAGCAGCGTAGCATGACGTATGTGTGCAAGTGCAAGAGAACGCAAAGCAGCGTAGCATGACGTATGTGTGCAAGTGCAAGAAAACGCAAAGCAGCGTAGCATGACGTATGTGTGCAAGTGCAAGAAAACGCAAAGCAGCGTAGCATGACGTATGTGTGCAAGTGCAAGAAAACGCAAAGCAGCGTAGCATGACGTATGTGTGCAAGTGCAAGAGAACGCAAAGCAGCGTAGCATGACGTATGTGTGCAAGTGCAAGAAAACGCAAAGCAGCGTAGCATGACGTATGTGTGCAAGTGCAAGAAAACGCAAAGCAGCGTAGCATGACGTATGTGTGCAAGTGCAAGAAAACGCAAAGCAGCGTAGCATGACGTATGTGTGCAAGTGCAAGAAAACGCAAAGCAGCGTAGCATGACGTATGTGTGCAAGTGCAAGAGAACGCAAAGCAGCGTAGCATGACGTATGTGTGCAAGTGCAAGAAAACGCAAAGCAGCGTAGCATGACGTATGTGTGCAAGTGCAAGAAAACGCAAAGCAGCGTAGCATGACGTATGTGTGCAAGTGCAAGAAAACGCAAAGCAGCGTAGCATGACGTATGTGTGCAAGTGCAAGAAAACGCAAAGCAGCGTAGCATGACGTATGTGTGCAAGTGCAAGAAAACGCAAAGCAGCGTAGCATGACGTATGTGTGCAAGTGCAAGAGAACGCAAAGCAGCGTAGCATGACGTATGTGTGCAAGTGCAAGAAAACGCAAAGCAGCGTAGCATGACGTATGTGTGCAAGTGCAAGAAAACGCAAAGCAGCGTAGCATGACGTATGTGTGCAAGTGCAAGAAAACGCAAAGCAGCGTAGCATGACGTATGTGTGCAAGTGCAAGAAAACGCAAAGCAGCGTAGCATGACGTATGTGTGCAAGTGCAAGAAAACGCAAAGCAGCGTAGCATGACGTATGTGTGCAAGTGCAAGAAAACGCAAAGCAGCGTAGCATGACGTATGTGTGCAAGTGCAAGAAAACGCAAAGCAGCGTAGCATGACGTATGTGTGCAAGTGCAAGAGAACGCAAAGCAGCGTAGCATGACGTATGTGTGCAAGTGCAAGAAAACGCAAAGCAGCGTAGCATGACGTATGTGTGCAAGTGCAAGAGAACGCAAAGCAGCGTAGCATGACGTATGTGTGCAAGTGCAAGAAAACGCAAAGCAGCGTAGCATGACGTATGTGTGCAAGTGCAAGAGAACGCAAAGCAGCGTAGCATGACGTATGTGTGCAAGTGCAAGAAAACGTACAGCACTTTAGAGCGAAATGTGTGCGCAAGTGCTTTGCGAGAATGTACAGCAAAGAACATCAAATTGGTCGACCGCACCCCATCCATCCACCCAGTTGATCCCATCCATAATAAGGATCCTTATAATGGTTATTATATATCCCTATGAACCATTGGATGACTAGCCCCTATTATATAATGGTTATTAACCGCAAGCCTCTCAGAGACCCGGCTTTTAAAAACAACTGACGTCGGTGAATGTTTTGAGGCGTTTTCTGGCGAGACTTTCTGTGACGAACGCATCAAAACAGTACACAGGGCTACGGCTATTGGCATCTGGTGCTCTGGTTGGTGGTTGACCTACCCCTCTGAAAAATGATGGAGTGAAAGTCAGTTGGGATGATGAAATACATTCCCAACATTTCCCAACTCTTGATGGAAAGTCATTCAAAATTCCATGGTGCCAGTCACCACCAACCAGGTCATGTTTAAATCATTTCAAACAACCCCAGAGGTGACCCCCTCTGGTTTCGCCATCGGCGAAGATTTTTTTTGGGGAAGGTTTCTAAGTCGAAACATCGGGGGGATGAGCCACCAATCTTTGCTGAAACATCTCCATGTTTGTCGCGTTAAATCAATTTAAGAATCACCTATGAACAAGCAGAAAATGATGGATCTCCATTGCGCTAGTGATATTTATGATATTACACTAGATATACATGTTAACAGTGATATAAGTGATGTATATATATATATATACATATGTGGGTTTCCATAAATGGGGATCTCCAAAATGGATGGTTTATAATGGAAAATACTATTGAAACGGATGATGAACAGGGGTACCCCCATTTTATGAACCCTCCATAACTTTTGAATGTTTGCATATTTTCTTTCCCCGTTACCTAAAGGCAATGTCGCTCATTCCGTGGCCTTAGTATAATATTATATGATAAAATACATATATATATATAGATATATATAGAGATAATATATAGTATATTGATATGCATGCTCCTTTCTTGCAACATGCTCCTGTACCGGAATCCGCCTCCTTGATCACCCGCGAAAACATTTCAGGATTGTCCTCCCGGCCCCGCTCGGAAGTTTGGAACGGAATTGCAACAAGGCATGTGTTTTTTTTAAGTTGAAGTCGATTGGATTTTATAGGTTTTTATAGATCGGATAAATTATGACACTATGATAAATAGATATAAATTATTATCAATTTGATCTAAATCAATGCCTACAACGACCTCTTAAGACATACAGTACTAATCATTGTTAAGCCCTTTTTTTTATACCGGGAAATATGGTAATCTGCTTCTGCAATGTAATGTTGTGAATCAATACCTAGCAATAGCATTCCATATCATGGAATAAACATGCTTTTTTAGATGGGGACGTCCCTGAACCCCAGCTGCTGTTGACACAAAACAAAACCAATCCTCGAAACAAGGGACACGACTGCAATGTTCCATGACTGCTATATGTTCTCAAAACATGTATCATTTGTTGATATTTCGTTCATATAAAGAACAAAGCCAGGAGTCTCAATCACAAAGCGATTCATCGCTACTTACCATCTGGTTATGACTCACATAGCTATGGAAAGATCCACCATGCTATTAAGTTCGGTAAGCCATCTATTTCTATGGGCCATTTCCATCCATTTCCCATGGCTATGTTAGTCATAACCAGAGGGTAAGTGATTTCTGTTCATGCAGAAACCGTTCAGATTTGCCGGCAGTGCAATGGGTGCGGAATTCAATGACCTGCATCGCTCTTTTGGATGACCTGCAACTTGCAGCACCACATTCAGAAATTCTTGGACTGCATTCATTGTATTTCATTGTTCTTACCCTTCCGGAAGCGCCAAAAAATGTTCCCACCTTCCGGTAGATATTCCGGTAGATATTCCCACCATAGATGTAGATTTTCCCAACGGAAAATCCGTCCGTGAAGTGCTCGCAGGTGGCCCATTCCACCTTCGGCAGCAAATTCCTGGCGTAGTTCAATAAAAGGAAGTCACCTGTAAACGATATATGGATACGAAAATATATGCAAAGTATGGATACCACATCGGAATAACATAGAATATTAGTGTAATATGTGTAATATGTGATTTTATATGCGTATACCATATATGCATCTAATATGTATATACCCATTGAATGTTTGCATAGATAGATTCCAAAGGTATATAGTGTGTTTATAGAACTTAATGATACTATAATAGTAGCATCATAATTTATTACATCGTAGCAAAACAGTTTCATGACATCATATGTTCAAAAATAAGATACGGCAATATCATACAATAAACTGTAACTGTAATATCATATAATGAACTGTAATCTCATATAATATACTGTAATATACTATGATAACATAATATGATAGAGCTTACTAGATTACAGTTGAAAAGAACTGCACAAACATCGCATACGTCTTATTGCTTGTTGCAAAATATTGCATATTGTAAAAGCAATGAATGCATATGTACACAACCACACACATAGAATGATGGAATAGAATCATACAGAATTCTAGACACAAATATAAATACCTGCAGTAAGTGAACTACAGACACTACTGCAAGTTTGGGTAAGCTAAAATAATTCATTAACCTGAAATAAGATTGTGCTGTTGGGATAATTTCCCAATCCTAACCTTTAATCCAGTGAGGTCGCAATGAGGTCGTGATCAAATTTACCCAGATTCATCACCATTCCTTTAATCATCCCATCAATCAGTAATGATCACTATTAATCACTATGAGTCAGTATTAATCACTATAACTGTTAGTTAACTATCCATTGTTAGTGATTACTAGCGACTAATAGTGATCAACACAGTGGAATAATGACTATTAACAAAGGGTTTTAAGTACTCAATTAGGGTCAATAGATGTCAATAGTCAATAGTGCTATCATCCCTATAATTCTTAGTTACCCCACCTAACAAACTAACAGTTCGATTTTTGGCATTTTGTTGCCACCATGTCTGGATCATTTTCCACACGGAAAAGCCTCGGGTTTTCCACATCTACGTTAGTTTACCCCAGGCTCACTGTCCATTATGCTGGAAGTTACTCATTGAAGCATCCAATCCAGCGAGCAAAAAAAAATCTTAGCGCTCGGCATCACGCCATTTGAAGGATCTCGTCATTTGAAAAAAGGATGGTTTTTGAATGGTAAAATCATCGATCAGCGGTGGATGTTCATGGATGTTTCATGTCAATCGGATGGCTCAAGATATCTCAAGAATAACTTCGAAGTTTCACCAACTTTATGACATTATGTTGGCTATAGTTCTCGTCTTAGTTTCGTCGGCATCCAATTGTTGTGCTTTTTCATTGAACCATGGCCAAATTTGGTCGAATCCAGCTAACAGCTGTGGCTGCACAAACTATGCGGGGTTTTCATTTGCTGATCATGCATGGGCTAAGTTCTTACACAAGTTGTCTTGGGGCAGCAGTTTGACAACAAACCAGGACCTTCCAACGTAGCAATTTGTTTAATCTTTTTTTGCCCCTAGGTCATTCACTAGATACCCTTGTTAACCTTTTTCCAGTTCGTAGCGCAAATTTCTGATCCGCGCAATTTTCCTGAGTTCGACCTGTTTTCTTTTGGCTACCCCAGCTCGACTGAAAACAGGATTTGTTCGCTTTGATGCGACACTAGTCACTAGTTTGAGCGAAAATTTGCGCAAAAGAACGCAAATAATATCCACAAGAAAGTGCAGTAACCGCAAATTCAAAAACTGTAGCACAACTGAAAATGGGGAAGGAATGAACCCCCTTGGGCATTTTTTTCTGCAAACAAGCAGTTTTTTGCGAATGAGCGAAAATCCACAGCACGAGAAAAAAAAAATCGATGGACAAATAAATGTATCATTGGAGGGTCTTGGGCGGAACCTCATAATTGTATATAATTATCACAACCGCCGTTAAAGACAAAATCTCTAAATCTCTGACCCTGGCTGCGATCAAAAAATGACGAAACCTGAGGACATTTGGTATGGATTGGTATGGTGGTACCATGTACCTAGATCACCCCATACTCCCAATCTCAATCAAACATGGCTGGAAGTTCTCCAACATGTACAGATGTTTCATGATTTTTCCCCACAAAAACCATCAAAAACCTAGATAAGTTGAGTGAATTTTCCATGACTTTCCTAGACTTTCCAGTGATTTTGATGACGCGATTTTCAATGTCCACTGACTCTCTGGTAAGTCGAGCCAGGGTCACCACGAAGTCCAATCCTTGGCAAAGATGATCTGGGGCGAAGATGACGACGTGTTTTCGAATGGAAACCAGAGGATAATGTTTTGATTCTAAATGTATGGATATTAATTATATTTAATTATAATATATTAATATAATATATAATATATGTGATAAAAAAGACTATGTAAGGCTCATGTTTTCTAAGTGTTTTTTCTAATGTATTGAAACCACCATTATCCACCATTCGGATGTTTTTCGATGTGCGGAAGGTGGTTAGTCCAAGGACTCCTTCAAGATCCATATCTTGAGTGGGTGAACTCAATGAGCAATACCATCCAGTAAATTACCATAGACCCTGCCAAATAGGGGTTGGAAGATTGGAAGATTGGTTTCCATTAAAAATTGATAAAAATTGACTATTTTGAGGGTCAAACTGTTAATTTAACAGAGGGCAAATGGATGTAAATGGCAATTTTTGGTCTATCAGAGCCATCCCCATGATGAGAATTGTGCTGAGGTTGGTGGTCGGAACCCAAATCAAACATCCCTAGATTGGCTGAGTGGTCACTTGAAATGAGACGTGAACTGTTAAAGTTGCCTGAATCATGGCCTATGCCTATCTCGTCTGGAATATCAAGTCAGTGATTTCCGAAATCGTTGGTTTGTAGCCTGAAAAAACGTTTTTGTTCGGAACATTTCAGGACTATTCGATACACACCCACCCTGAGACCTCATAAATACAACCTGGACCTTCAAAAGTTCCATGAATTTTGCACGTTTGGACTATTGTACTGTTGGGCCGTTTTGAACGTTCCAAATCGAACGCTCCCAAAAGTGAAATATGGCCTTTCCACACCGTAGTTTTACAGGTCACAAAATACCACTGAGCTTCGGCTACTGTCTCATTGGAATGTGTCACACAGGTAGCAGGCATGCATTGTCACATGCAGGTAATTTATGGTAATTTAATGCAAGTCATTGCAAGTCCCAATGTGTTTGTCTTTGTGTCACGAAAAAAAAAAGTATGCGAGCCTTTCGTTTGCCCCTACTGATGCGCGTATTGAGCATTCAAAGCTTCGGTTGGTGAGCCCACCAAAACAATAGTTGGATTATGTTCATGTCCAAGACAAAATAAGAAATTGCAAATTGTATATAAAGGACAAAGGTGCACTGTACTTTTGCCATTACAGGCAGGGTGGTGGGTGGTGGGGCAGATGAGCAGAAACAATACATGATAATACCTTCATGTATATTTATATAATGTGTGCGTATGTCTCAAAGAACCGCATAACATGTTGGCATCTCTAATTCATGTCGATCTCACACTCGACATAATTCCATAGGCAATCTTGTTCATTTATGTTTAAATAATATCCACATATTTTTGTGTCACTTGATTGCTCAACGTTTGTTCCAAATTGGCCAATCTGGCATGTTTACAACTTGTACTTCTGGTCCAGGAAGCTTTGAAGGTCTGTTTTGGCGAGCAAAGGCGAAACCACATGAGCCAGGTCCTGTTTCCAGTGTCCATCAACGAGTCAACGATGCAATCCCATATATAATCATATATATATACACGTGTACGGTCGTATATGTATGTGTATAGTATATATATATATTACATATACCGATACCAGTACATATTATACACTGATCTACACTGTATATTTTATTATCAGGTGGAAAAGTGTAAGAACAATATAAATATACATAAATATATATGGGGATGGGTCAAAACCTATTACTGCCATATCTTGGGGAATAAACAGGCATAAACCATCTATTTAAGGTCCCCACGGTACCAGGGTTTTGACTCATAGCCATATATATATATATATAACAATGATAAACTGTCTGCGGCAATGTGATATCATCTGATTTTTGCCATGATTTGCCGCAATGAAAAACCGAAACGACTTCCGATTCTTTGCTTTCGAATCTAAGCTTTCGACGAGACGTCTCAGTGCCCCCAACAAGCCCATCTTCGCATCTGGTGGTGGCTCCTGAGGCTGGGAAATCGCTGGCGAAATCCTGCACCGATAACATCGGTGCAGTTTTTTTTCATGTACCCTCTGGTAAACTAACATAGCTATGGGAAATCACCATGTTTAATGGGAAAATCCACTATAAATGGCCATTTTCAATAGCTATGTTAAATTACCAGAGGGTACAAATAATGACAAATACGGGGTAAACCTATGGAGATAAGAATAATTAGATAAGATGTCTAGTTGATTCTCTGCTGATCATGGTTCTAGGAAACCTTGTTTTGTTTGTCAACATCTAAGTCATGGAATATCCATGTGGAGGCTTCCGAAGTCATTCATGGGCTACTCCTATGTTCATCCAGCCGTCATGGATGACCATGACGACTAGAATTGAAATCCATATAGTGACTCAAGGATGCCCCATTATAAGAAATATGGATTATGGTACATTATAAGGGGGCATGTATGTTGATCCATATATTCCATTATATGATCTATATTGTAAATATATGTTCCATATAAATAAATCTATATCATTATATGATCTATATTGGAATAAATATGTATGTGTTCTGCAGCTGTCCCCTTCATCCAATTTTTCAGGGACCAGCTAGCTACCCTGAGTATCATGGTTAGTTTTGTTCCTGGCATTGTTTGTTCTGGGATCCTCCGTAGGAAAACACATGAAAATCCGATGATAAATGCACAAATATAAATGTTTTCTGCTAAAACATAATGCACATCCATTTCTTTTAGATATCCTGCATTGTTTGTTTCTGTTGTTTATTTGGTCAGTTAAATGCTTCTTTGAAAGCAACAACATAAACCATATCTATCTACCAAACAAAGATTGGTGTGACATTTTCATCAGAATGGATGTGAAACAACCCAGTTTTGCCGTTTCACCTGCCGTTCACCAGAAACTATCCAGAATGAAACGATTCGATATGATTCGATCTTGAATTTCCATGAATTTCCCACACGGCTTCGACGTTGAAGTCTGGACCCGGCGAGGCATCTTGGGGCCGAGAGGAATCGTTTTACCTATTGGTAAAGCTGTGTCCCAAAATACTATGGTAAAGTGGTGCTGGGATACTCGACTCTACTAGGATTGGTCGTTTTTTGGCTCCTATCGGCTGATATAAATTCCGATATGGTACAAGCACCAATACATAATATGGGCAATATGGGGATGGTCACAATCTCACGTTCACTGACCAAGGAATTTGATGTTCACCTCAGTACCAGGATTTGACACAAAGATACACAAAGATTTAGACCTGTGACCCAAAATGGAACAAGTGGCACTGGGTGCTACTCGTGTCTCTTTTCATGTGCCCTCTCTGAGTGAACAACATAGGCATCGGTTAAACAAGTATCTTATGAAATACAACGACATCTGGGCCCTGGGCGTTCTGTGACCATCCCTTCAAATAGTGCCGCATTGGTCAAGTCGAAGTCGTCACAAGTCGAAGTCGTGATCAAGAAGCTATTCCAGGGACGGTTCATTCGCAGCTTGCGATGAAAGAAGAGTATGACCACATATAAACAACACCTGTCTAGTAGACCTCAGGTCATCCCCTTCGTTCTGATGAGTTCTTCGGGATGAACCCATTTCCGCGACCCTCCGAGAATGTTTCCCATGGCTGGAAAATCGAAACCATGCAGGTTTTTTGCTGAGAAAATCATCTATGAATATCTAGAAAACTGTACAGTACGCCATGTTCGATTATGGTTAGATCATTGCTGGTAATTTCCTCAAAAATCCAACTTTTTTTAGTCGAGTACTAATCCCTTCCCCCAAATATTAAACTATATCTTAAATACCCCCGAATCGAAACCATGCTTTGGCGAATCCAAAGGGGTTCCAGGAAAATGATGGGTGATATCCTCACGGTATCCGTATGGTTCAACATTTAAGACCTCGGGGAGAACAGTTCGACTTTCACCAAAATTTAAGTACGAGTATCTATCAGAATCTATCGGGATAACTATAGTAATATAATTATCGGGATAACTATAATCATTTGGGTAAATGCTAATATTTCACTATAGCCTGAATCTTGATTCCAGTGAGGGAGAACAGTGAGGTCGTTATGATTTACCCACAATCATTCTATAAAAATATATGTAATATAATATCCCGTATAACTGTTACCCATAGGATCCATGGTGCTGGTATATATGGTAACATAGATCCCATCAATATACCCCAGTCATGTCAGCATATATACCAGCACCATGGATCCGTCATGGGTATGTAACATAATATCCCAGATAATTACCCTCTGGTAAACTACCCTCTGGTAAACTAACATAGCTATTGAAAATGGTGATTTATAGTGGATTTACCCAATAAAAATAGTGATTTTCCATAGCTATGTTAGTTTACCAGTGTCTAACTATTGGGCTGCGCGAGTTCGTCATCGTGGCCGTTTTCCGGGCCGCGTTTTTTTTTGGGCGCCCCAACGGCCAAGATCTCGCCGAGCTGAACTTTACCATTGAAGTCCACCTCAAAGTTCATCCCTGGTGCTTGTAATCCATTGAAATCCCAGAAAAGAATGGGATTAATCCCGGAAAAGAATGGGATTAAGCTGTATTAAGATGTATTAAGATTCTAGCCTGCTTAGAATTGGGACAGATTTATTTTTTTTACTGAAAAATGACCTGGAATAGACCGTCCAAGTACTGTTTTCTGATTCTGGCGACCGGCCATGTGGCTTGGGGACAACATTGCCACCCTCAACTTAAAGACTGAAATGGTTGCTTCTGAAAATCAGTTACCTCAAAATCCAACGATTTCTAATCATGTTTGCATTTACTGTAAAAGATTTTAAAAGAACTATTACTCCATTTTCACACACACAATATTCCATGCAGATCTTCCACTGAGATAGCCGCCACCAACGCCATATCGTGGGCAATGTCACCTGTCAAAAAAAAAAAAACGACACCAGTAAGACACAGGTCGTAAAATTAAAATTCCAACGTGGAACCTTCATTGTGAAAATCAGGTTCCTACTGGATTGCTGACAAATTTCAGGGTTCCACCATGAATTTCCGCAGGACCAACCCAGTTGCAAACACCCTGAAAAAACGAAGTAGTTGCAGCTGTCGACGATCAAGGTTCTGTTTCTACGTGCCTTGGTTGAATTTATTCCATGTTTGGAAATGTTGCTGGGTAAATAACATAGGATAACGATATCATATGATATCCATATATTATATGCATTCATCCTTAAAGAACATGTTTCGATGTGTACATGACTGCACAATCGCTGGTGAAGTCGCGCAAAATTGGAGTTGAAATTGAGCACCCTTTACAGTGTTAATGCATTGTTATGCTCTTCAATGATCTTCAATGTGCATTTTGCGGTCTGCAAAATGGTCTTTGTTTTGGATGAAGTTGTAAAAACATGTAGAAACCCATCGCGGCAGCGCGATTTACAAAAAAATATTGGGTTCTCAGCGATGCGCATCATGTGCAAAGTGTCAATGAATGTTACCCGCCCCAGCCCACCACATCCCCACCCCATATTTGTAGCGAAGCATCAAGTCTGTGTGAATGGGTATGAGAAGATCAGTGTGAATGTGTAAGCGAAGATCTACTAGCGTAGCATCAAGAATGTGTGCACGTGTCCATGAATGTTCATCTCACCCTACACCACCCAAAAAACGTGTTGTTTAGTTTGTATACTACTGGATACTACTTAAGCCCAGAAACATCAAACAATTAGATTGGATTCAAGGTAACATCAAATAGAATCAAACACTGTCCCAGCACTGTAAAAAAAAAAACATTGTATAAGAAAATCAGGAACACTATAACGCTCGCACTGTAACACTATTCACTTTCACACCGGAACTTTTTCTTTGAACGCGCCACCCGAGAAATTTCATGATCTATCTTTATCGGTCGTCCGAAGCACCGATGCTTCGAAAGCTCCTGAAACATATTGGTCATGAAAAAAATTAGTTTCCCAAAAGTGGTTGGGAACTAGAATGCATGATGTTTGAAGGCATATGATGTATATGATGTTTGAATGCATGTTCTCCATCGCGGGAAACCCGCGGGTGAGCCGGCACCCGCGGACAGCGAGCTCACAACATATTTAGAAGTCAACTTGAGGATTTCCCAAAATGGGATATCCTAGACCCATGGCCCATGGTTGTTTCAATGCAAATATGGTCTATTGGGGTACCCCTATTTGTCTAAAAACCTGCCTATTCTGGTGTTCATGAATGTTCATCTCCTCAAAATATGGTATCATAGGGTTTTGACCAATCCCCAGTTTAGGGAACACCAAAATGGTTTCGTCAGTCTTTGGGGATCCCCAAAACCTTCAAAACAAACCCGTCGTTCATTTGCCCCCTATGTTTTTGACGGTGTTGTGCACGTGCCTCCATCTATCTATCTATCTATCTATCTATCGATCTATCTATATCTATCTATATCTATCGATCTATCGATCTATCGATCTATCTATCTATCCATCCCTCTATTCATCCATCTATCTATCTATATGTCTGTCTATCTATTTATCTATCTAGTCCAGTCCAGTCCGGTCCAACCCGACCCAATCCAATCCAATCCTATCTATAATATACATATATATATATATATATCATGATAATAATAATCATAATAATCCTCATGTTCAATGATCAATGGTCAATGATCAATGGTCACAGATCTATCATCAAGCATCAATCATTAATCATCAACCATAAATAATCAGTCATCAATCATCACTAATCATCAAACATCATCAATCATCAATCATCAACCATCACTCATCAAGAATCTTCATTGAACAATCATAATCATTATTATCATGGTTGTCATGATTATCATCACGATGATGATCATCGGCATACAGAAAGCATAATGAGTATATATATATATATATCCATGTACTTGGTTAACATAGAGTTGTGTAGGAACACATCGTCATGCAGGTTGTTTACATACATATATATATATATATACACACATTAAAACAAACAGAAAAACAATTTATGTATTCATGGAGACAGTGTATGTACTTGTACAATCAAAGATATATGTAGGGACAATGTATATGTATAGTGCGATAATAAGATAAATTCTACTATAATAATGTATAGTATAAGATATTATAATACCAATATAATGCAATATAGTACCATATAATATAATATAACATAAGAACATATTGTGTTATATATACTACATACAAATATTGTTAATAATATACATATGCATAATATATATATAAGAATATATTATATATATATTGTATCTATATATACACGTATATATGCATATATATAAGTCGCGTTTTAGTCATCATCGCATCAACAACACCACGCACGCTTTTCATCACCTGTCCTGTATGCGTGTTCTCCTAGTGATTTAGTGTTTTGTTTACATAAGACCCAAATTTGGATGTGGACAAAGTGTTTCCATGGAAAATGATGTTGCGCTCTAACACTTGACATGCAACCCACCAATGGTCACACACCACCAGGAGACTGAACATCCTCTTCCACAACCATATTAGCTAAGTCTTTAAGATCATTTAGATTCCATTTTACCTTGCAATGTTTGAAATGCACTCAGCAGTCAAAACTCAGCTGCCTAGACATGAGCGATTCGATGCAGTTACCACAAGAAGAACCATCGCAATCTCCACTGGCAACAGATCCATAGTGGCCCAAATGGTGCCACCTCAGCCGGCGCTGCTTGGTACCCCCCAACGATCAACCGCCCAGCTTAGCAAAATCCGAGATCACTAGTGCAGTAAACATCCAGGGAGCTTGACAAAATAGAGTCACTGGGGGCCACAGCATTGCGCGATACATCAAAAGGGCAAACGTACTTGAAAGTGCCGAGAAAAAAGGCAATAGGGTTTGGAGGACTTGAAATTCGAAACTCAATTCCACTCCTTCGGGTTTGTCATTTTTGATCGCCGTAGCTTTAAAGAATTAAGGACTGACGTGGAACTAAGGTCGAGACAACATGCCTCCTTGCTGTTCCTTGGGACGAGGAAGCAATTGGAAATCTCATGATTCATCCTGTGAATGCAGGATTTGATGGGAAAGTCATCTCTGAATGTGGAATTCTTCATCTGGTGGGTGGTATACTTACCCCTCTGAAAAATTTGACTTCGTCAGTTGGGATGATGAAATTCCCAATGTATGGAAAAATTAAAAACATGTTCCAAACCACCAACCAGTCATTGCCATGTTTGATTACCGGAGGGTATGCTTTCAGGTTTCAACAGCCCTAGAGGCATGGTCAGTTGTTGATGGTTTCACCAAGGTTTCTTCAAAACAACCTATTTTGAATCAACAACCGCATCACCTATCATCGGTTTTCGGTTCAGGAGAAACAAGTGAACATGTCCGATGAATGTCATGAATTCATTGAACCAAAAGAAATGTACAGTAGATCAGAATACATTTAACAAAACAAGAGTCTTAACATATTTTCCGTCCAACATTATCTTTTTGGTCTTATAGAACCAACATGTCACTACCATTTTGTCTAATCCTTGAAACACAAAAAACGTGAGAAACATGCCCACGTTGATTGAATCATGCCACAAGCAAGCTTGCATGTTTTTCCAAATGAAATGTGGAATAAAATATGGAAGTGGATAATCGACCAGCGAAATTTAATCGAAGATTGGTGCAGTAGTTTCCCACCAAATAAGCACCAAACGCATCCGAAATTGTCTAGAGCAAAAGTAGAGTGACTCTCAGCGCACCATGGGGCAGAATAGGATTATATTTCACAGTTTAGCTGTGTGACTGGCAGACTTTTACAAAAAGCCAACTCCATGAAAACAGCTGCACTCATCAAGACCGCAGAAGAAAACCGGAATAAAATTTGCTCACATTGTCCAGTTTTCTGAAAAAAGTGCATTGCAAGCTTCTGGCGACACATTTTGGAAAAGATGTCTCTGCATCACTTCGATATTCCGTCCATCAGCTTTTAGCCTTCGCTGATCCACTTCCATACTTAATCCCATTACCATCCCAAGGTCAAACTGTTAGTTGGGGGGATAGATATACCAAAATTATTTCATCTGGGTAAATAAAATATGTCACTAACCTGAAATGTTGGGTTTGGTGATTCCCCACAATCTAACCAATTCCAAGGAGGTCATAGTGAGGCCCTCATTTGACCAGATATATGTTGCATGTTGTATCCCCGAGTGCCAAAGGACTTCTGCGGCGCACGGGAGGTCAAGCGCACCGCGGACCTGATGTCTGGCAAAGCAAATGCCAGAAAATTCCAATTGAAAATGGTGTTTTCGCCACCAATTTTTGGTAATTTCGGATGTTTATATAGATTATATAGGTTAGGTTTTACCCATTGAATCAATACAACATCGCCTTTCATTCACCGCACAAACCGCACGAAAACACCAACTCGGGATGTTTCAAGGTCTCAACAAAAACCCGAAAAGGAATGTTTGAACCTTGATGGTTGAATCACCGAAACCAATATGTTCATTTTTTTCTCATTTTGGTGTTGAGAGCATAGACGTGTTCACAGCGGACCTTCAATGGTAAGGTTTGCTCCACGGCCAAGATGGGGAACTGGGGAAACCAGTTATTGTGGTTCAAAACAACACACCCCTCGGATACGTTGATACCCCCAAAAAAATATAGGTTTACTGGTACTCCCATCTTAAGATATACCACGGTATACCCATGAAGGTTCTTCAACATAGAACCCCAAGTGATGTTTGTGCATTAAGTGATGTTAGGATAGTTTAAATATGTACTATGGGGAACTTGATGTTCTGAGCCAAGTATCTTATCAATGAGATGGAATAAGGTTTATTGTGTTTACCTGCCAATTAAACATAGATAAACCATGAGACTCGAATTTCCAGTGGTGCAAATTGTTTTTTTGGTAAGTTCCGTACTGGAAGCAAGTGAGATTGCGACTGTTGATGGCTTCCTGGCCGAGGAGGATCAGCGTTCAAGGCATGGACATAAAAGGTCCTCTGGTTCGAGGGATCCCCACCCTGACAAATGATTCTGCCATTGTTTCTGGCATACCTTCTGGAAGTTCTGGAAGTATACATGACATAATTAAGTTATATATTTTTGACGTTCTATCTAACATTCTTTCCGGCATTTACTATATGACATTCTATCTGACGTTCTTTCTGACATTTTACCTGACCTTTTTCTGGCATTCTATTTGACGTGAATTCTGGCTTTCTATCTGACAATGAAATCTGGCACTCAATTGGAACGATTCTGGCATTCTATCTGAAATGCCTGAGTTCAGCACTACAGCTCCAATCTCACTCCAACATCTGTTGGAACCTTCAGCTACAGGACGCTTCGTGCATACCCCACCAGCCAACTGCGTCTGGTAGCATTGCGCAAATCTCCCGCCAACTGCGTCTATAGCATTGCGCAAATCACGATTTGCGCATATTTGCGCAACGTTGGGCCAAAGCTCCGCGACACCATCCACAAGTGGCCTCCTCGCCTCAACTCACGGCCCAAAGACGGCTGCGCCGGACACTCTTTTTTTTAACCCCGTGTTGGTCGGAGACAAAAACCGCCCAGTCCCCTGCAGGACCTTCATCAAACATGAACCAAGCAACAGGCTGTTTTTGCAACACATTGATCCGTGCAGCTGCAGCTTTATAGTACCTGATCAGACCCGAAGCAGGCATAGAAAACCACTAGAACAACTCCGGGGCCCGGGCCAACATACCCCAGCCACATTAATTACGCCCAACAAAGACTTTCAATGGTTTGCAATGGAAGCACCCCGACGACAGATACGGGCAAACAGAAACAATCGCACTACAATTTTGCACGCCCCATTTAGACAATAGAGGAGTGCCTATACAGCTATAGTCCAAAGGAACACTTCCACCACAAACTTGCCCCTTGCCTTACGCAGTATAACGCTCCAATGCCAGGCGCCGCACCGATGGTTGGAAGCGTGGATTGCGCTCGAACCAACAGCGCAGTGCTGCTCCTGAACTCTCCAGCTGACCCCTCTCGCTGCCAACGTGCGGCGACTCAGATCACCTGCATCAATCACATGCACCGCAATGACATTCGACACCCGGTTTGCCTTCTGAATTCACGCCAGTGCTTTGAACTCACGCTGCCGAGACATATCAGATCATATCAGTCACACACAAGAACATCGATGCTGTTCCGACTGCAGTCCTGATCTGGTTGCCCGGGAGATGAGCTCCTCCAGCTTTCGGCGCTGTCGGCGACATTGCAGCGACGCAGCCCCTGTGCCGCAAATCCCACGCTTGATTGTTGCCCATGGCCATGCATCCAACATCTACATGGCATGCAACATCTACATGACATGGCTCACATTCTGGGGAATTGCAAATAATTACAGACACCACTTGATGAGGGATACAGCCTGGGTATCTCGCACTATTATCCTGTCCCATGTGACCATGTGCGTGCAACTTATAGCCCACAAAAGGTCAGAGGTTGGTCCGTGGCATCCACTAATTGCTAGACATCCGCCCAGACCGCTGGGGAAACTACAACACCAGGGATAAAACGATTGCAGGACACGGACAAGCTCCTTGCAAGGCCTACTTTGTAGACACAACCTTTTTTGGATGACATCTCGGCGACTCACGTTTTCTAAGGCCAAGAGTGAAAGCAAACTTCCGAACCTACACACTCCAGCCCTCAGACATGCAATCAGCACAGCCAAACTTAGGTTTTCTTCTCCGCGCAGGTGCTGTGAAAACTATTACATGGCAACGCCAATGATAAAATGGTTCCAATACACAAAGAAGCTGGTAAACTTGTTCATGGCATCCGTTCGGGTAAGGCTTTTTTCGTACAGACATTTTGGATGGATTTTCAACCATGGGGCTGTGCAGTCCTTCCTTCGGCAACACGCAAGTCTTGGTGGTCCCTTGTTCTTCACGAAGGCCAAGACCGCGGTAAACACAACCAGCCAGGAGTAGACAGGGCATTGACAAAGGATTAATGAAATATGCCAAAACTGAAGCCTGTAGAAAGAATTGCCTGCCTAACCTATTCCCTCTGACTGGAGGCACCTGCGCATTATTGCAGGTTGCTTCTCTATTAATAGTTTCTCAACCACGTCTTATACCACTGAAGATGCCAACAAACTCCATGCGGAAGCTCTACAGTGCAGAGCCATCAACACCGGCCCACACCTCAACAAACTACAAAGCCAAGCAGTAGTACTTCATTACCTGCACTGCCTGCTCGTCTGCATCACGTCAGCTCAACCGTCCAACGACTCATCCACATCAAATGCTGCCTAGCCAATTTGAAACCTCTTTTTTTGGGAAAAAGCATGGCATGCATTTCCGTCAACACAAACATGTCTATGACAAATCTGATCCATGGCATTCGTTTTGGTACCACTAACTTTTGTGGAATCATTGCCATCAAGCACTGCTCACTACATGGTATCCAAGTTTACACCCCTATTGTTTGTGGGAAAAGTCTTGCATGCCTGTCCTTCAATGCAACGATGTCTATGAAAAAGCTTATCCATGGCGTCCGTTTTGGTACCACTAAAAATTGTCAGTTCATCGACATCCAACACTGCTCAACTACATGGCATCCAATTTGCTACCGCTAATTTTTGCGGAAAAAAGTCCGGCGTGCCTTTCCTTCAGTGCAAAGACGTGTGTGAAAACCTGATTGCATCCGTTTTGGTACCACTAGGTCTTGTGGAGGCACCTTGAGGCATCTATTCTGCTACCTTTCGGGCATCTTTTCTGACGTCCTATCTGACATTCTCTGTAGGATATGGTCGGATCCTTTCGTACCTTAGCTGGATCGCGAGAGGGTTCGGGTCTATGCGTGTCCAGGCTGAGCTGGAGCTCGCGATAAGGTTTGGGCCATGCGTGCCCAGACTGAGCTGTAGGTTTCTATAGTCTCCGGGTCCGTGTGTGCCCAGACTGCCGTGGAGCTCGCCATGAGCTTCTGGGGCGAGATAATTCTACTTGATCTGGCACTTCCACTTGGTGCCACAGTGACCACGAGCTGGCACAAGGAGGAGGACTGCGGAGGAAGGAAGGACAAACGGACGGAGGAGTTGCACCTTTGTTAAAATCTAGAGGCCCTCCTCTGGCAAGCAGGGAAAAAATACTAGCAGCGTTCAAAAACCGAAATGTGGTCCCTTTATCAGGGGTTGGTAAATGTCCGAACTATTGGGAACAAAATCTCGAACAAATACTCAGGTACTTGAAACTGATGTTCAAAATCACCGAAGTAAGACATTTACCAACCTCTGCATATGTATACCGGTTGGTTAAGAACGGTTTTGCCACTGGATTGTGATTCTCCAATATACATTGGATAGTACAAACCCAATATTTGTCATCAATCAACAGGGGGTGTTGAACACTGCTCATGTATCAAAGATGTTCAAACATGTAACTTGCGAATATTGATCAATAAAGGATCATGAGTATAAGCATAATGGCACTTCGAAGGAGGGACCTACAGCCGCAGTCCACATTGGTTCTTGATGGTAAACCAAATGGTATTGCAGGATATGAATGCACATACATCAATCAAAGAGTTGAGAAGTCTTCAGCAAACATCACGCTTCACTCAAAAGGCCTTGGGGTTCCGGCAACTACTTCATGCATCTTCATACTAGCTGGCCTTGTCCACGAAAAGGTTAACTATAGTTATCCCATAGGATCCATGGTGCTGGTATATTAGTGCTAACATTTGGGGTATATTGATGGGATCTATGAAGCACCATATATACCAGCACCATGGATCCGTCATGGGTATGTACCCTCTGGTAAATTAACAGTTCTACTCTGTCAGATAGGGCTTGGTTCAGATGAGTTTCCACCAAAAATTGCTGGAAAATATGACGTTCCAAACCACGGGATGAGATGACTTAAGTGGAATTCCACTCGATTCTTAAACGTTGGCAAGATATAATACACGCATCTTTGAATTCATATATATATATACACATAGCATATCTGTTAATATCTATCAATCACTATTTATCCAGGATTATCCATCACAACATAAATGTGTGCATATATATATATTATATATACATACAGAAATGGTTAGCAGTTTTTCGAAGCACTTCTGAATGGTTAGGAATTGCCAGTATCAAGGCATAGAGGAGATCCCTGGTTAACCCCTGGTTAACCACCCTGAGACCATGGTCATGGCCATTTCCTCACCAGCACCATCATCATCCGAAGGGAAATGGAGTTCTAGTGGTTTAACCAGCCACAAAGTGGAAACGAAGCTTTCGGTTGATCTAGACATGACAAATTCTGTGGGGGCACCCATGGGCACCCCTTTTCTGCCACCCTTTGCTAGGGAGGACTTCAATCAAGGAAGTGGAGTAGCTTTGGGGCCACCATGAAGTTTTTTCCATAGCTTCTACCCTCTGGTAACCCCATGGTTGTCCAGGACATGATCGACATATAAGGTGGATTTACCGCTAAAATTACTGGAGGGTATATCAATCTACAGATATCATCAGATACAGTCGAAAAACAGTCGAAGAAACAACCCCCAAAAAATGGGCTCCATTTTTTGGCTGCTGATGTTTTTCTCGTGGACACCACCATGCCAAAAGTTCCACAGTTAACATCAGTTCACCGCTTTGATCCGTGCTTAGCGACTGGGACGTTAAACACCGTTAAACAGGCCAGGGAAGACCACAATTTTGCCACTGGTGTTGACAAGCAACGCCTCTCCAAAAAGCTCCAGCCCAGAGGGACGAAGCTCCATCCAGACTCAACTGGAAAGATAGTTATCCCATGGTATATGAAAATGCTAACATGACTGGGGTATATTATTGATGGGATCTATGGCACACCATATATACCAGCACCATGTATCCGTCATGGGTTTGGGAATCCAATTGGGATCTCGGAATCTGGTCGTGCTTGAAAAACATCAACCCATTCCAGTTTTTCATCGTCGATTGAGATTGGTCAGGAGGAAAACACTGACCAAACAAACCTAATAAACCACGAACCAATCTAGTTGTAAGATATATCTAGATCCTGTATGGAATCTCCGTTCCAACCGATGAATGCGAGTATATCCATGTCAATAAAATAGATATATACTTTCTGATCAAAATGGTGCTCAATTCTGTCATCATGTGGATGGTATGACTGGTATTACTAACCATTTTCAGACACAACCACATATATCATACTGTTGGTGTTCGTTCATACTATATCCCCACTGAGGTTGCCAATTCGGGATATCCTCCATTTCTGGGCCCATAACAAACCGAGCCCAGACAGACAGACCCACATATTGGTATCTTTAATATTGATTGTATCTCCCATATACTAGCCTGTAATATCCGATTCATATCATTCATCAATATTGCTATAATTATACCTCTTGAAATATATACATATCCAAATATATATATATAAATACAATGTATGTATGTATGTATGTATGTACGTATGTATGTATGTATGTATGTATGTATGTATGTATGTATGTATGTATGTATGTATGTATGTATGTGTGTGTGTATGTCTGTGTGTGCATGTATGTGCATGTATGTGTATGTATGTGTATGTATGTGTATGTATGTGTATGTATGTGTATGTATGTGTATGTATGTGTATGTATGTGTATGTATGTATGTGTATGTATGTGTATGTATGTGTATGTATGTGTATGTATGTGTATGTATGTGTATGTATGTGTATGTATGTGTATGTATGTGTATGTATGTGTATGTATGTGTATGTATGTGTATGTATGTATGTATGTGTATGTATGTGTATGTATGTGTATGTATGTGTATGTATGTGTATGTATGTGTGTATGTGTATGTGTATGTATGTGTATGTATGTGTATGTATGTGTATGTATGTGTATGTATGTGTATGTATGTGTATGTATGTGTATGTATGTGTATGTATGTATGTATGTGTATGTATGTGTATGTATGTGTATGTATGTGTATGTATGTGTATGTATGTGTATGTATGTGTATGTATGTGTGTATGTATGTATGTATGTATGTATGTATGTATGTATGTATGTATGTATGTATGTATGTATGTATGTATGTATGTATGTATGTATGTATGTGTGTATGTGTGTATGTGTATGTGTATGTGTATGTGTATGTATATGTATGTGTATGTGTATGTGTATGTGTATGTATGTATGTATATATATATATGTACATATATCATCAATATCCTATTATAATAGTGCTATAATTCCACCAAGCATCATTTCCGGTGCCTGCAATTGCAGCTGATTTTTCTTCGGCGTGGCATCTGTCCGATCCCAACCTGTGACTTGTGGTAATGTGGGTAAAACAATAAACCACCCATTTGGAAATGTTTTATACATGTTTATACCGTTTATACCACCTATAAACATAGTGATGACTGGGGGATGGTTTATGATTGCTTTATCATGTTTTACCTACATTACCGCCATGACTTAGGAAACCTCCATAGTTACGCAGAGAGAAAGCGAGACGGCATTCATGTTTGAGAAGGGGAACACCAAAGGTAGGAGGCCAAAATGGAGAGCGAAGGAAACAGCAGCTGCTCAGCCGTCTCCACGAACAAGTTGGAAACCATGTCGGGAATGCAATATGATCGGGGGAAGGGGTTGAGAGACCTTAATGTGCCAACCAGGCATCAAGGAAAGGATCAAAATAGTGAAAAGCCATATCCAAAATCCGCGGTTTTAGTAGTCGAGAAGTCGTGCCCTGGAAAAAGAAAACCCGCCACAAGAATAGTAAACCAATGCAAACCACATCCCGGGACAGATCAGTAAACCGAAATTTCGGGAAGGGGACTTGCCGCATGTGCTTCCCCGATGGTTTTCCTGGGTGATTTTCTAAATCTGACCCTGACCTCAATACAGTCAAGGTCCTGAAGTTGCATTTTCTGACTGCACTGGGCTTGGCTAAGTCCTGAAGTTGCATTTGTGTTTATTTGCAGCATATTTCAAACATGATCTTTGATAAGCTCACAAAGGGGGTAGCATGGGGTAGCATTGAGACACGGGAACCTACGGAATAAAGATCAATAAAGGCCCCAAAGTCCCGGGATCTTGCTAAGAGTATCCACGAGTATCCAAGAGTTGATTCAAATTTCACTTCAAACATCTTCAAACTACATGTCACTTCTATTTCAAATAAATAATGTTTGGAGCATTTGGAGCCAACGATTCCAATATATTCCAATGATCATTAAATGTCAATTCCAATTTTAGTAGGCAACTTAAACTCAGATGCAAATCAAATTCAATTGAAATTCCATCAATACTTCAGTTCAAATTCATTTCCATTCAAACAAAGTCACATTCAAAGTATATAAAAGTATTATATATATATATATAATACCCAACTTTCGCGAAACTTTCGCGAAATAAAATTTTACTTTCGCGAACTCGAAAAAAAACTTTCGCGAGGGTTTCCAACATAACATGCACGGCTTTCGCAATTAAAACTCCTTACAAGGACCTTTAGATCGATCACCATATATAGATCTAAGTTCAGCTCTAAATCATTCCAGATCAGGTCTCACGCAATTCAAATCAAAAATAAGCAAACCAAGTCGAAGTCAACTTGCCCACTCCCAGACAGCAAAAAGAACGAATTGTAAGCATGTGCCTATTGTTTGTGCATCATTGAAACATCACCCGACCAACGATCCGTCCGAATAATCGTGTATATATATATAATCATACATATATATATATATAATCATAAATATGTATATATATATAATCACACATATATATAATCATATAATATTAGATAATTATTATAATCATATATATATAATCATATATATACATACGTGTATGTGCGTTCATCTTTTGTTCTACATGCGAACATCTTTCCTGAGAGAGAAAAAGAGACAGAATGGACGCTGTGAAACATAGCTCTACTCAACAGCAATGGAGACATCAACGGAACAAGGAGTATGGAATGATTCTAAAGGGGTGTCAGAGGTGAATTCGCCCACATAAACCATCCCCACTATGATGATCAAATACTACAGCCATGGATTGGTGGCATCTTTTCACCAGGGACGTCATTGAAAAGGTCCATGGGTTTACGTGACACATTCAGTCGACATCCCAACTCCTAACGCTCACTGAGAATCCGAGCAGAGCGAAAAGGCACAGCTGGAGTCTTGCTTCAGACTCACCTCCTCGCCGATGTGCGACATTGGGAAAATTTCCGCACTTAAAAGGGATGGCATTTTGTAAAGAGAAAACCAGAGGAACCAGATTAAAACAAACCTACATCATGTGGTAAAACAACAATAATGAACCACCCATTTGTTTTTTCTTTTTTTGATACCACCTATTTATGGTGATTTGGAGGATGGTTGATTATCGTTTTACCCACATTAATGTTTTCGTGGTAAACACAATGTAAAAATGAGCCTGCTGCGCAGCTGGAATAATTTTGCGTAGTTCATTGGTTCATGTTCAGACCCATAGGATCCATGGTGCTGGTATATTAATGCTAACATTTGGGGTATATTGCTGGGATCTATGGAGCACCATATATACCAGCACCATGGATCCGTCATGGGATAGGCTATGTAGATCTAGACTCTGGTGCATCTGCATGCCCGTCTTAAAAGGACCAACCCACCCATCTTGCTGGTTTCACACTATCTTTCTGCGGCCACCTCTGATCCCCCCCAAAAAATATAATGCCCCTAACATGACATGATGAACTGTATATTTCACAAAAATGAAGAATACCTACATGTGATGTCGTCTCACAGGTAAACGGCCTCGTACGCATATTATGGAGGTTTCCAGAAAAGGGGGTATCCGTAAATCATCCAAATCAGAGCATTTTCTTATTGAAACAACCATGGTGACTTGGGGATCCACCATTTCAAAAAACCCCAATATGACACATGGAAGCATCCTCACAGATCACGGAAGCCACGTGCATATGGGTCATGTTTAGCCTAATGCATTTCCTTTAGGACCCTGAGTAGATAATGTAGATAGAATCATTTTCATCCATTTTTATCCAGGATATTGTAGATTATCTTTGCCTCATAGCATACTTTGTAGCTTGTCATATCTTTTCCAATTTAGGGAGTTGCTATACGATACCCCAACCATGATCACAGTCCCAGGGGGCCCAGGGGGCCCAGGGTGCCCAGGGGGCCTGATTGCAGGTCAGCTGTGGCCTGGAAATGGCAATGTCAATCTGTTGGAATAATCTCAGTAAAATAATTTCAGTGAAACACTACCCCATGACGGATCCGGCTGGTGCTGGTAGATTAATGCTAACATGACTGGGGTATATTGATGGGATCCATGGAGCACCATATATAGCAGCACCATGGATCCGTCATGGGCTATGATAAAACAAAGGATCTATTTTAACATGGTTCATCAACTTCCATTTAAGTGGAATGGTAAAAACGTTTAGAAACAAGAAGTCAATCTAAGAAATCCGACATATATCCGAAAATAGACACCTTTTTTTCCCTGAAATGCTGGTATATATATATATATATATATATGTGGTCAAGTCTGAAAAAAATTGGGGTTTCTGGGGAGAGGCGCATATATACAAAAAACAGCGTATACACAATATCTGTATATAATACAATATATACATGGATTTATGTATATGTATAATTATGTATTATATATGATTATGATGATGATGATGATGATGGTGATGACGACGACATATATATATATATAACTCTATGTGTATGTATGTATATATATATATATTAATATATTACAAGTAATGTTCAATGATATTCCCACTAGATTTCCCTTGGTGGATTAAACATACAGAACACGGAATTACCGAATAGATCCGAATAGCAAATTTTGGTCTACATGGGTACGGGCTACCAAATAGATCACTTTATTGCTATGGCTATAGTGGTTGAGTCACTCATCCAACAACACTATGCTTGTCAAGTAGACGAAACATCTTCACAAAGTCAAAAAAAATGAAACTACCAGCCAAGTCAGGGACGTGTTTCTGCAGAGGCCCAAACCTAGTTGAGCTATGACCGCCTGAGTTTCATTCCTTTGTAACATAAGTCTTCCACGAGCACGTTCCGCACTACTTCCGTGGGGCTTCCGCGCATGCTGGGTTTTCACTTCAGGACTTACTTCAAACCTAAGATGAAACGAATACATGGAGGTGTTGGCCGTTGCTCAACAGGGGCTTTCAAAGCATAACTATTATTGCCTTTGCCTGAAAACGGAAGCCTCAAAGCCATGCAAACCCAACAAAGCTCATGGATGGGTTGGCTTTTTTCCCCACCTGCCAGGTGAGGGTCTCCAGATTTGAATGAAGACGACACTCGACAGTTTGGCGAGCTTGCCAGCTCTCTGGGGTTCGCCGGACCCGAAAGCTATGCCAGATAATAGGTCATTTTATATGTCAGATGGAATGCAAGATAGAATGTCAGAATATATAATAGAATATATATGTCAGATACGAGTAGAATGCCAAATAACATGTCAACAAAAAATGTCAGAGTGTCAGAATATGTGTCAGAAATGTCACGTGATATCTGCCGCAGTGGGATCACCATTTTAGCCCCCGAGTAGTAGCGACATTGAAGCCATCAACTTCCCCGGGTTTCCTGGTTTCCAAACGCCCAAATCTGTAGTCATTGCATGGACCTTGGAGCGACAACGCCTAGCGTTTTGTCATGATGGTGGTGACGATGACGATGGCGATGACGATGATGATGATGGTGGTGATATTGGATTTCGATCGATTCTAAAAATGACTTGAATCGATTTGCCGGGGTGTTCATTGACTTACCCATTGTTTTCATTGATTTTTCATGGTGTTCATCGATTTTTCCATGGTTTCAAGTGATTTTTCCATGGTTTCAGTTTCAATTGATTTTTCCATGCATAACATGCACCTGGTGAACATGTAGAATATAGGTTGAGGCACAACCGTGCCTGGGTGTAAATAATTTCATTAGATGCTATCATACTGTTGATTTAGGATATATTTAGGGATTCGTTTCGGGTTTATTTGGGGTCGCTTTAGGGTTTTTAAGGCGGTCGAATTAAAAGTTTGTTAGAGGGTTGGATTCAGGTGTATCTAGGGATACAACGTGTGTTTATAAATTCTATATAGAGAACGTAGGTTGAGGCACAACCCTTTTGGGTGTATTGGGTGATTGGGTGTAAATAGTTTCATTGGATGTTCCCGACGTTTTCCTAGATATTCTGTTGTTGTATTAGACATTGCCTTTTCTAAAACATATTATATATATAATATAATAGTAATATTAATAATAATATATAAAATAATAACAATAAATAAATAATAATAATAATAAACAATAATAATCATAATCATAATCATAATAATACAGTAATAATAATAACACTAATATATTATAATGCTATTTCATTATGATTTATCAGTTCTCATTGATGTTTTACTCGTTGTCGGCACGATAGTTGCAGCATACTGCCAAAAAAAGGCCACAAAAGCCATGGAACAAGAAGCCAAAAACAACAAGAGAAAAAACAAAAACAAGAAACTAAGGAGCCGAGCAGACAAATGCCACAAAGGCAGAAACAAAACATAACTTTCTTACAAAACATTGTTGTTGTCCTTTATTTCTAATTGATGTTATACTCTTTGTCTGCACACTGGTTGCAGCATAGTGCCAAGAAGCAAAAAAGCCAAGAAGCCAAAATCAACAAAAGCCAACAAGAAAACACAATTCACAAAAGCCAGGAATCCCAAAGCCACAAAAGCCACACTGGAAAACAAAAAAAAAACAATAAACAGAAAAAAAGTCAAAAAAACACGAAAAAAACATAGCCCTCCAAAAAAAAAACACATCCTTTTGATCATCACATCTTCAGACACCCGAAGTTCCGCGCGCCTGCCACTGTTCTGGGCCTTCCTGGGTTCCCTGGGCCAAAGGATTCGTTGAAATCAAGGGACTGACGATGATCCTTTTTAGGATACAGGATGGAGCCCCCCAGCGATGTAAGTTACTAAGTTGGTTTATGTTTATAAACCATGAAATAATCCCCATGAAGTCCATGAATACTATAGTTATATATATATATATCTACCACAAACCATAGAATTCAGCCACTTCTAAACCAACTGAACGCTATCTTGGGGGGCCCCATCCTGTACTAGAAATATGAATATATGGAATGATCCTATGATTTTAGAATGATCCTATGTGATATCCTACAAAAATATATGATAATATATGATAATGTATGATCATATATGAATGATGGTAAAGACATGTAAAGACTGCAAAGCACAGTCCAACAGATCCAGGTCAGCGGCGCCAATCAAAATCAATGCGCATTATCCAATCGAAGAGATTCTCAGTATGTTTCATATCACCCCTATGTTTTTTTGCTGAATATTCATGACTTCCAGATTTGGGGGGAATTCTATGGAATTGTCACAATCCATAAACATCCATAAACATCATCTGGTTGGTGGTGCAATGATAACCATCTTGAAAAATCATGGAGTTCGTCAATGGGTTTCGGATCACATCCCATATGGATTTTTTTATCCAGCCATCTTTGAAACCACCAACCAGTCATAACTTCATCATTGATCAACGATTTTAAGGGCTACCTTGATGATTCATGGCCATGGCTTCTCGAAATTCATCGCCTGGACCTGTTGGCTTTCTGTCGCTCTGGGTGAGCCAGGTCGTGCAGCTCCTGGCACCCGGCATATCGTGTCCACGATCTAAAAAAAGGCTGAAGTCTGCCAGTGAGGTCGTTCACATTGAACTTAAATGTGACCCGGAAACAACAGAAACGAGTCGTGATTTTCGTTATTGTTCTCTATATATATAATATTGATTATTGTTATATGTATATATATAATATAATATTAATTAATATTATATAATATCATATAGTCAATATAAGTATATATAATTATAGCACTTTGCAATGAAAGTCCCACAAACAACCCTTTTCAGGACATGGATTAGAGCTTCCACAGCTCGTTGATGTTCGGTCTCCAAACGATCCAAAAACAGCTAAAATTGTGACCTAAAGTGATCTAAAAACGTGTTCAAACTGTGCCTGTTTTTCCTCTATTCTCCAGGTGATGCACCAGATCACATCCCTTACCCCGTAGCCTCAATCGAAGCTGGCAATGGAAATTCACAGATATTGTTCCATTACCAATGCATTGGTTTAAGGGAACAATTACAGGAACCCCCCATGATCTTCACGGGAAAATCCATGGTTTGCGGTTAAGATTGTCCCCAACAAACCAATCCATTGACATTCAAACCTCGAGTTCCGGGATTTCCCAGCGACACCAGCTGGAGTGCTCTGTATTTCCAGGATCCGACAGCCAATTACGCCTCACCTGGAGCTTCGCCCAACCTGAAAAGTGTATCCAAATGCTCCATGTATCATCTGGTTGGTGGTGCAATAACCATCTTGAAAAATGATGGAGTTCGTCAATGGGAAGGATGACATCCCATATATTATGAACATAAAAAATGGTTGAAACCACCAACCAGATATTCACCATGAAATTCTGAAATTGACCTACATTCTCCCCTCAAACATAGGCCAAAGGCCGTAAAAATGGAGCATATGGGCATGTGTGAGCCCAGTCAGATCGTGGTGGCCACCCCACCGATAAGTTGGTTTATAAAGCCCATCAACATCCGTGAAGATTGATATCGACGGTAATGATCCATAACGCATAAAACCTGGTGAAATATGAGTTGTAAACAAACTTACATAGCTATAAAATATTTGGGCAGAGGGCTTGCCAAATGTGATGAGGAATCATCATATGTCCCCTTAAACGGCTACAATTGGGGACTGGGGAGGACTACTCCATTGACAAACCCATATTAGGGTGTTTCCTAAAATCTGGGGGCTACCCAAATCATCCAAAATTATAAAAGTAGTTGATTGTAGTGATATTCTGGTACCCTCTGGTAAACTGTTACATTTTGCTATGGAAAGATCCACCATGCTATTTTCATGGGAAAATCCACAATTTCGACTGGGCCATGGCTTCCAGTTCGCAAACTGTCAACGTTTTCCAGAGGGTATATTGAAAGCTATAGGTCTAGGATTCGATGTTCTGGCAATCCCCCAGGATGAAATGGAGGATGTCATGGGGCGTTAAACCAACAAAGATGGATGAAGAAGTCATGTTTTTTTTTTTAATGGAGGACCCTTAAAATGGGGGTCCTTTAAGTCACCATGTTTGTTTCAATACTAAGCCATGGTCATCCATGACGACTGGATGATTTTGGGTACCATGACTTAGGAACCCTCCATACCGAGAAATACCGGGTGGGGATCTTTCGGATCTCCACATTTCCAATGCAGTTCCATTAGGATCATCCCACTTTGTCATTGGTACAGTAGCTGGTTGGTGGTTGACCTACCCCTCTGAAAAATGATGGAGTGAAAGTCAGTCGGGATTATGACATTCCCAATATGGAAAAAACATGTTCCAAACCACCAACCAGCTATAGATTATAACCCATTTACAACATGTTATAACCCATGCATTGATATGTTTCAATAAATAGGATAATCCATGAATCGGGGACTTACGTTCACCAGGCTTCTTCACCACTTACGATTCGTGGGATGATCCTCCAAGTATGAACCACCGATGATGAACGAAAAATTGAGATATATTTTGATATAACCATAGAATTGGATGATGGGAAAATTTAGAGGAAACCCCTATGTTCGCTGGTAAAAACCATGGTTTCCTGTAAATTTTCCCTTAAACCAATCCAGTGATATAACCTTTTGATGAAATGGGATGCTCCAAGTTCAAATCAAATCATCCCGATGAACTTCCGAGGCTCCCCACGCTTCAGCCGGATGCTCTCCCTCTTCTCTGCATCATCTCCCTGGGCAGATGTTGGAGGTGGTCAATCATGATCAATAGATAATGTTAATCGTTAACATGTGGTTAATAATAGTTAATCATGGTTAATTGATGTTAATATAAGGTTAACTATTGACAATAGTAGTTATGACAACTATTACTTATTAATTGGTTAATAGATGTTAATAGTGGTTAATAATGGTTAATACTAGTTCATAGTACATAGTGGTCAGTAATAGTTAATGGTTAGACATGGCTAATGATGATGAATTATGACGAATCCATTGATCCTGGCTAAGCTGAAATCGTACTTCCCAAAACTGATTCATATTGGTAATTTGGGGATGATTCCCCAACAAAAAGCCATCCTTCGTTTCCAGTGATGACGCCTGAGGATTTCAACATTGGATATGATGACTCAAGCGGAACTGATGACATGACCCATTGCTTGGAATGGGCTGGACACCCCGGACACCCCGAAAATTCCAGCCATTTTTGCCCCAAAATCCACGGCCAAACTAAACAGCATGTTTCATCATGTTTCAAAGAGCGTTTTTATATGTTTTTATGGGTCAACAATCAACAATTGGGAGATGCCTGATCTATCCAAGGGGATCCATGGAGCCTCTGAGAGTAGATTTGCAGAGAAACAGACATGGAAACTATACCACAACTGCCTGGCCATTGTGAACATGCTTTGCATGTTTTAACAATCTTTGTGTCAGAGAAGTTTGTATTGGTTTGTGAATGTACTGTACATGTGTGATTCAACATGAGTTAGACCATTGTTTGAATGGTCTTCAAACTGCTGACCACAATTCAACGCAAAGTCATTAAAATCCACACCGTAAATAACAATCAATTGACATCAGTTGAGTCGCGATCTTCTTCGTTGTCGTCTATCTTCACTATCAGATTCCCATGTCCCATATTTATCCACCACTTGGAGGCCACGTAATACGTAGCGCGCTTGATCCTATGGATCTAAGCCTTTGCCCTGGCTTTTGGCATATCCCCAACAGATTCACTGTAAGCTGTATTGCTGTCAACCCCTGCACCCCAAAAAAAAACAATGTTATGTCTTTGGGCTGCGCGCTTGGGTCCGGTGGACAAAACAATCGACTGAACACAGAGGAAGTTAGGTAGAGTTTGTCCAACTTTGAAATTTGGGGTGTGGGGTTTTACTTGGTAGATGTTTGTGTTTTTTTTTCCTATCTACTGTAGTTAACTGGTTCTCACTGCATCTCATAAATTGCTGGGTGTGATACAAGGTGAGGCCCAAAAAAAACGTCGCCAAGTTGGTTTATAACTAGCTTAACTCCTTAACCATGGTTTCTGATAATCGAATCAGCATGAACCAATATAGAACATCACCATTCTTAATCACCATTGTTAACGTCTTTGTTTGTTCTATGGAATTCGCATTGTTAATCGCCATTCAAAATGCTTCGAGTTTCGTAAAAAAATCGTGACTGACCCAGAGGCTTAGCCTCTGGTAATTTAACGTAGCTATTGAAAATGGCCATTAATAGTTGATTTTCCCATTAAAAATGGTGATTTTCTATAGCTACGTTAAATTACCAGAGGGTATATCATTATCCCATAGGATCCATGGTGCTGGTAGATTAATGCTAACATGACTGGGGTATATTGATGGGATCCATGGCACAACATATATAGCAGCACCATGGATCCGTCATGGGTATATAACATTGTTGTTGACGCAAACTTCATTGTAAGCCAACAAGTCCTATATCTTGACGTAGGTACTTTGACCAGCTGGGTATGGGTCAATACCTATAGATACATTTTTAATGGGATGAACATCCATTTACCAGCTATTTTGGGGTTCACTAGGTACCAGGGTTTTGACTCATAGCCAGCTGATCCATCCTTGGCCACTTTCCTTAGCAGAGAGGTTTCACCAGGCGTCATCCCTTGCAGCGTCGAAACGATCGCTTCGGAGGCACCTGCTTTCGATGCTTCGAGGAGCAGTTGTCGAAGAGCTCCCGATCTGCCTGGGGATGGCGAAAAGATACACGTTGAAGAAACAGTTGTTTATTTTCAGGTATCCAATAGTAATAGTTGTGGTTAAACAGTTTATATATATATATACAGTATATATTATATATAATATATTATATATATTATATATTATATTATATATTATATTATATTATATTATTTTATATTATATTATATATATATTATGTGTATCCAATAGTAATAGTTGTGGTAACAAAATCCGCAAAATCTATCTAGTTTACGATATTGTTTATACACGTTGATTGGATACCATAGTATGTTCCATTTTTGTAAATAATGGTGATTAACAATTATTGATTTTCCTTGTTTGTTAATGGGTTAAAAAGATATTTATATGGCAACTTTCAATAGGTGTGGTAAATTACCAGAGGGATCCAGAGGGTAGGACATTTTGATGGTTGCCATCAGTTTTATTGTTTTTCGGAATCTAAATATGCAAGAAATATAGTAGAACACGTTTGAACATTGGGAACTATAGCATACTATAGCCATACTCTGGTACAGTAAGACCAAAGCCCAGGAAGTATATGCTGTCTTCTCAGCCGGGAAAAGAATGAGACGAAAAGGGGAAGGTGTGGAGATTCATCAGATGTTCATTGTTTATTGGTTTACAAACCCATTGACTTTAGAATACTAATGAATACTATATATATAAATAACTATATATATATAACTATATATATATAACTATATATATATAACTATATATATAACTATATATATATAACTACATATATAAATATATATATATATAACTATATATAACTATATATATATAACTATATATATATATAACTATATATATATAACTATATATAACTATATATATAATTTAATATGTATATAATAATATATATATATATGTATATATAATGATGTATGTATATATTGATATGTATATATATATAAGATTATAATATATAAAACTGTTTCCGTTATTTATCCTCATTTTGTTGCACCACCGAACTATCTGGGAATCAACTGCTGATGGAAAAAACAACATCGTGATTTTCCGGGTAAGTGCAATAACGATCTCAGTCCATCTCATTCTCCGGTCTGATAAATTCCCAATCTAGAAATGGGAAGACTTCAATTCATAACGTCGCTTGTCAAAGAAAAGAAATTGGACAATCAAAGCAACTAGATTATTGAAAATTAATTATATGCCGTTATGGGCATTATAGCTGTTATAATTAGCCAGGGTAAGGACAAAGGAAACGAATCCAATACAGTACGTTGGTTTTCTCATCACAACCATGGCTCTTTCCACCCCAATGATGTCCTGTTTGGTATACATTTATCGACATTCACCTGATGAAAATTTGGGTTTCCCCTCTATGAATCATGAATATCTACAAACACAATCAAACACACACACACATACTATTTATACAGTACACACAATAGAGAGTAGTCAACAGGAAAATGAACATCTATGTTCCCACCAACAATGACGCTGGGTTGAGGTATACAAGAAACACAACATGATCCCCATATTTTTTGTTCCAACAGTCAATGGATTGGTTTAGTCGGGAAATTTTACAGGAAACCCTGGTTTTTACAATGAAGATCATCGGCTTTTCCTGTTATTTTTTTCCCATCCAATTCTATGTATGATATGACTTCCGTATACTTCCGTAAGATATTTCCATATGACAAACAGTTGCCATTGAAACAGTTGCCTCAGTCACTACGGCAAGAAAAAATCACGTTTTGGCAGCCTCCATGAAGTTTTTCAGCACGTCCATGGTTCTGGACATCACCTGAGCCAAGGTTCAACTCACGGTTCAACTCACCAAGCCGGGATGATCCAATGGCAAAATCATTGGGAAATGATGATATATATATATATACTGGTTGGTGGTGCAATTTCACCATCTTGAAAAATGATGGAGTGAAAGTCAATGGGAAGGATTAATCCCATATATTATGGACAATAAAACATGTTGGAAACCACAAACCAGTATATATATATATATACACCTTGATGTATCCCAGTTTCAGATGTTGAAACGTCGTGGAACATGTTGGAAGCCGAGCATTTTGTCGAAAATTACGTCGGAACTGCTGTTGGACCATCCTCCGCAGATGTTGAGGCTCCAACATTCGGCCCCCATGCCTGCTGTTGCATCAGTGAACTCACAGTCCCTACTTGGTGGTTGACCTACTTTTAATAGCTGGTTAATATACTGTTTATGGTTAATACCATGGTTATTATGATGGTTAATGATGGTTAACAATGATATTACTGGCTGGTTGGTGGTCGCTGCTAACCCCTCTGAAAAATGATGGAGTCAGTTGGGATGATTTTCCATTCCCAATATGATGGGAACGTCATAAAATTCATGTTCCAAACCACCAACTAGGTCCAAAGATGTCCCCTGTCGTCTCTTGTTGCAGATCAAGTGGCTCCCTCCATGTAGTTCTTTTCGAGGCAAAGAACAGCTTCAATGTGAATTTGTCCATATGATCCAACTGACAACCGCCAGGTCTTATCTGGCGACATTGAACCCTTTTTTCAATCCTGCCTGGGTGATGTTGGAATACAAGCGGCTGACAATCAAGGGAAGATCATCTCGGCCTTACCGGGAGATGGAACTCTCCAGCAAGCTGCCCTTGAACAAAAACTGTTTCGATGCGATCGATGCTGACGAGTTCAAACAGTTCAATTTCTGATATTTTGTGATATTTTGTGCTTGTGACCATTTTTTGGAATTTTGTGTCGGACTGTGTCGGAAAAAATGAAGCGAAAAATGAGGATCCAACACATGTCACCCTGCGTTTATTTATGTACTGGGCATTTCATGCAGAAAGTGATGACCGATTCCATCTCCATCTATATCGATATATATATATATACATATATATAATATGCATGTACTGGAAATAAACTATTCATAAATTACACTATCTCATTCTAGTTCCTGTACTAAGTCCATGTATATTTATTAGAACCATCTATGCATAATTATATATTTATATACACATTATGGGTTTGACTGACCATTTTTGGAAACTTATAGTCTATCTGCATTCTCACGATTAAGTTGGCAGTTCTGAAGGTATACCCCAATTTCAAACACACCCACATGTATGTATGTAAATGTATATGTGTATATATATATATGCGAGATAGATCCACAGACAATGACAGACAAACAATGACAAACAAACGGAGATAGAGATAGAGAATAGAGAATAGAGAATAGAAAATAGAGATAGAGAATAGAGATAGAGATAATAGATAGAGACACACACAGAGATAAACATAGAGATATAGAGATAGATATAGAGACACAAACAGGGATAGAGATAGATATATAGAGACAGAGACATAGATAGATAGAGATAGAGATAGATATAGAAAAGGAGATAGAGATAGAGATAGAGAAAGAGAAAGATAAAGAAATAGAGATAGATAGACAAACAAACAGAAAAAGATACAAACAGAAAGATAGAATAGGAAAGAATAGAATCAAATAGAATAAATTAGATTTTACTTGATTTGATTTGATTTAAGATAGATAGATAGATAGATAGATAGAAAGATCGATAGATAGTATTGATAGGATAGATAGGATAGATAAGAAAGATAGAATAGATAGGATAGATGGGATAGATGGGATAGATGGATTTTGGGATGATACCCACCCTACTAATTTAAGGAGACCTCCCGTGACTTCAGAAATTTTAGGCTCGCGGCAGTTCTGCACCGTGGAGCGAACGGTTGGCTGGTGTCCTCGGCAAGCTGAGGAATCCATAGAGCAAGTAGTCCGTAGCTCACATATAGTGTACATATGATGGGATGAATATATATATATACTGTATATATATACTGTATATATATTTATATATATAATATATACGTAATATATATATACATAGGGATATATTGGGATGCATATATATATATATATAAAAATACACATGTTTTCTGACGTATATTGGGTTGAATATATATTTAAATATCCTTTTCTGGCATATATGTATTCACTATTTATTATGATAATTAGGATTTACTTACAATATTGTGCAGGATATATCGTAGCGTATTGTAATGTAGTGTGTATCCTGTAGCATGTGTATGTATATAATTATAATTATATATATATATCCACTTTTTATAGTATACTATATGTATGTATATCATGTACATATTCTCCGAATGTGGAGTTTAGGTGTATATATATATATGTATACATATGATATATATATATATATACGTATATATATATATGTACTGGTGGGTGGTTTCAACCCCTCTGAAAAATATGAGTTCGTCAGTTGGGATTTTTATTCCCAATATTCCCAATATATGGAAAGTCATAAAACTCATGTTCCAAACCACCAACCAGTATATATCTATACATAAGAATACATGTATTCATCCCTTGTTCTGCACATACCGGGTTTTTTTCAGCCAAGGAAAGTGATTGTCTGCTTCGCCCGCCTCACCCTTGGCAGGACTCGGAACTGAGTAAGATTTTGTAAGCTACCACAATCACACGCAGCCAGAAACAGATCGAGTATATCTGGTTGGTGGTTGACCTATCCCTCTGAAAAATCATGGACTTCGTCAGTTGGGATGATTTTCCATTCCCAATATATTAGGACAGTCATAAAAATATATAAACATCCATGGTTCCAGTCACCACCAAGCAGTAGAGCTTTTGCATCAAAAATGGAGTGGAGCCATATGGAGCCTGGATCTTAAAAGCACCCAATTCTTCTTCGCTGACCAAGTTTTTGTCCCCCCTTGGATCGGGCCACTCCAAATGCCCAAAGCTTTCTCTGCGACCTGCGGCGGCCACTTTTTTTTGGGGCTTCTGGTCTAGGGCCCATGTTATGGGCCCTAGACCGGAAGCCATTGAGACCATTTTAAGCGACTCTGGCCATGTTTACTTTTCCCATCTTGGTATATATCTCATTCAAGTCGTCCGTTCGTTTTTGGATTGCCAAGTGTGACTTACAACATCTCACAACATCTTTGCACATCAAAATATCGGGGACAGAAAACGACAACTTGCTGAGAGTTTCAGTGTGAGTTTCTCAAAATGGGGGGACCCAATTTTGAACACCAATGTTTCTGATTTTTTCTCTGATTCAAAATGTACATTTAACAGTTAGCGAACTGGAAAATCCCTGAACTCAATGGAGGTTTCTAGAAGGGAAAATAATCTGTTTCAATGGGCCATGGCTTCCATAGCCGCCATAGCCATGTTAAATGACCAGAGATGCCAGAAAATGACCCAGTAATAGTCCGATGATGATCCACCTCCGAATGGCAGGAGATGCAACAGCTGGAAATTCGATGGGCGCAGGGGGCCTCAGTCGTCAGCACACAGGGCTTCCCCGGCCGAGAGAATCCTTCTGGATCCCTCGGGTAAATCAACTATTTCGACTGGGCCGTTTTCAATTACAAACTGTAAACGTTTACCAGCGGGTACCCAGCCAAGGTTTGCCTAGCTCAGGGAAACAAAAAACATACCCTCTGGTATATTAACATAGACCCTGGCAGATAGGGGTTGGAAGACTAGTTTCCATTAACAATTGGTGATTTTCAGGGTCAACAAGTTAACTTACCATGGGCTTAGTTTTCTAATGGATTTCATTGTCCGTCTAAACGTTCTTCCCTGATCCAGTTGGCTAAAACCATGGCAGGCATGCCATGGGGCCGAAGGGACCAACTGACCAACTGACCAACTGGTTGGTTGCACTGGCGTATACAAATTTCAAAATCCACAATAATCAACCATCCCGGACCATCCCAGACCATCCTGGACCATGGTGGTGGTTTATGAAGTCCTGCATATCATAGATATTCATATATCCCTACAAACGGTATAGTTTAAAATTCATAGCGCCAAATGGTTGATGTTTTATGTTCTTTTTGATAATTGGGAGTTCTACATGATTGTGGATTCCACATTATTACATATTATTACCATCTTAGTCTGAAAATGCTGTAATCATCTCCCAAAAATGTCCATGCAAAATTGGGAAAATTATAGTTAACCATAGTTAGCTCATGGATTTAGGATGATTCAGGGCTACCATGTTTTCAGAGCCCAAGCCACTCGGATGGATCCCATGGCCCCACCGAGCATCCCGAACGGCAATGGCTTTGAAGTCTGCAGCTGGCATCATGTGGATCAGATCTTCGAGCTCTCCCAAGAAGATGGTTTGCCTTGGCCAACTGGGCCACTGATGGCCACTGGGCCAACTTGGGTCACTTCACCAGCAATGGATAGCAATGGTAGATGGGGAAAAATTCTGCTAGATGGCCAGAGAGATCAAGATCTCAAAAAAAATCTTGACGAACTCTGTCCGAAATCCCAACATTTTCGATGCTTTCTCTATATCCCATAGTGCTGTCTCTATATCCCATAGGATCCATGGATGGTATATATGCTGACATTTGGGGTATATTGATGGTAAATGTTACCATATATACCAGCACCATGGATCCTATGGGTATATGAGATGTTCATAGATGTTCCCACTCAACATGGCCATTGCAAAATCCTGTCGCCCTGACAAATACCGTACCCCAGGTTCCCTGGCTTTCCGCTGGCACACTGCGGCCAATAGCGGAGCAGGGCTTGCGCCTTGGCCGGCCAAGGGCAGGGTGACCTTTTGAAAAACATCTGTAGGTTTATCATGGTTTCTAGCGGCTAGAGGCATGTTTAGGCTACCCAACTTTTCTCTTCACTCTAGTAGATATATCACATGTGTATGTATATATATATATGTATATACATTTATATATATATATACATATGTATAATGGATGCATGTAGCCTTTGTGGCTGTGTGTATATTAGAGAGAGAGAGAGGCAACATATAAAGTAAAATAATATATGTATATACACACCTGTACATGTACACAGTTAATTATTGTGTTTGCACACATTCATATAAAGGCTCAATATTGTTAAGCATCATACATATGTGCATACATTACAGTGCTACATGAGCTAAGCAGGAAAACAGAAATATAGTTCCAATGCATATGCGTATATGTATATATATATATGTGCATATGCGTATATGTATATATATATATAGTCAATATACCATGATAAATTGGGATGATGTAAAATGACCCCCGCCAATCATGGTTTGCTACTGGGCCCAGCCACTGTCGGTTTGATCAGTGTCGCATCCTTCTTGCAGAACAACCGTACCACATCCTGGAAATGCCACGTATCCCAACTGGCTATTGACAGGCCACTGGAATGCACTGGAATTTGGATGAATGGTGATGACATTCATTGAAATATGATGAACATATATATATATAATGTATATAAATCATAATATATATATATAATACATAATAATTGATATATACACATTATAGCTTTGTGCTGGTTAGTGTTCATCCAGAAATTGCGGCTAGCTTAAAAGGAGGATCAACTAAGGTCAACCGAAGGTCTGAGCAGCGGCGCAACTGGTCAGCTGGAGGGATTCCCAAATCCATTTGGCTTCACCTTTCGAAAGCCCCAGATTTGGTCGTTGATCATAGTTTATCAGCATTGTTTCGACAGTTAAAGTGGATATTTTGGGCCTCTCCTATTTATGGATGATGTTTTTTTAAAGGATTTTTTGGTGTTTTAGTTTTTTTTCCAGCCTGGGGCAGCTTTCCTTGCTATTTGCTACAGTTTGGGGCTAACATCTCTGATTTGCGTGCTATTTGCTGCATTTTGGAGCTAAAATCTCTCTGATTTGTGTTGAACGAAAATCTCTATTTTTGCATGCCATTTGCAGCATTTCGGAGCTGAAGTCGCAAATTTGGGTAGCTAAAGTTGTAAATTTGCACAATAATTGCGACATTTTAGTTTTCACCCGTTTTCCCACGGTTTTCAACGATGTCTGGATGGTTTTTATCGCTTTCTTGATCGTCTTCAATGATCTTTCCATGGTTTCAAAGATTCTTTAGGGTTTCTTCTAGGGTTCTTGAGGGTTTAGGATTTCATTTAGGGTTTCTTTATGGTTTCATTGAGGGTTTCTTTAGGGTGTTGTTTAGGGTTTCTTTGGGTTTCTTTCAAGGTTTCTTTAGGGTTCATTTAGGGTGTCGTTTTTGGCTTCATTCTTTAGGATGTCATTTAGGGTTCATTTAGGGTTTCTTTAGGGTTTTATTTAGGGCTTCATTTAGGGTTTCTTTAGGGTTTCTTTAGCGTTTCATTCAGGGCTTCTTTAGGGTTTCATTTAGGGTTTCTTTGGGTTTTTTTGTTGATGGTTTTGCAATTTTCTTACAACAGCATGGATACAAGCTCCTATACTCTATGTCTGTAGTGTTTGTGCAGTTTACTTGAAATATATATATATATATATATGTATGCAATGTATTACATGAAATGTTATGTGCAAACTACAATGCTAAAACCCAACAAACGCCAAGAGCCAAGTGAAGTGAACGGCCAAAACCAAAGCCAAGTGAAACCAAAACCAAAAGCCAAAAGCCATGAGCCATAAGCCAAGTGAAGCCAAGAGAAGCCAAGTGAAGCCAAGTGAAGCCAAGTGCAGCCAAGTGAAGCCAAGTGAAGTAAGAGAAGCCAAAGCCAAAAGCCAAAAGCCAAAAGCCAAAAGCCAAAAGCCAAAAGCCAAAAGCCAAAAGCCAAAAGCCAAAAGCCAAGTGGGAACGCAAATGCTCCAAAATGCATGCAAAACACAGATTTTAGCTCCAAAATGTAGCAAATAGCAAGGAAAGCTGCCCCAGGTTGAAAAACAAAAAGAATCCTTAATAAAAAAAACAATAATACCCTCCTTTTAAGACAAACCCATGTTCAGGTTCCGGAGTGAAAAGGCTTCCAACGCAGCTCCAAACCCACCTTACTTGTTGAACCCTCAGAGTGCGTAGAAGTTGCCAGAATTTCTCCATTACATAATTTACACGTATATGTTGTGCAAAAGTCCGCGCAATGATCAGTGTGCAGTGTGCACCATTCTGTCAGCATCGAAAGCAAACCAAGAGAGCAAACAAAGACATCCTGTCGGGAAAGATAGTATGGGGTCCCGTTGGCATACCATGATTGCTATCACTTACTAGTAGCGCTTGTGAAATGGGGAAAAACATGTGTTCTTTGCATCACCCCGTGGGAATTTGAGACACGGCTCATCCCTGACGAGTAACGGATGGTGTTTTGCTTGTCAAGGCTGTACCCATGTACATCTCCGTGTCGCGATGTGCAATAGTCTGGCATTTAGATCTGCATTGACAAGGACACTGTGCCAAACAATCAGGCACAATGACCACCATATGAACAATGCTTTGCATTCGGGGCTCTTGGTTTCATATCGAAGCCCTACTGTGAAGCAATCAATCATCACGAATTACCAACACTTATCTCACCGAAGAAGGAAGTGCATAAAATCAAGAAACACACATATATATATATATTATGATTGGGTTTGTCTGAAAATAGAGCAACATAGAACCCAATGGATTATCAGAATGTTCGGAAAATCAATGCATTATTGTTGCGTCTATGGATTTATGGGTCTATGGGCTCATTAAAAAAAGCGCTGATGAATATCTGGTGTGGCTTGCAGCTAGTGTGTGATTTAAGGTCGACTCTCGTTTGCAGCTGGCACTGATGGAAACAGGACCCATGGAAAAGGGCCCATTTATAGATGGTTTACCGTGATTTTCCATGGCTATGTTAAATAACCAGATGGTAGTTCCAGGGCTAAAAGGGTCCAAAACAGAAGTTAGTGGATCAACAGGCCAACTGGACTGCGAAATAATGTTCCTCATTCAAAAATCATATTTTAGATTGCTATGTTGGGGCACCCCATTTCCTGACACAGATCCGATCAACACGTTGCTTCAGTCAGAACGTGGCCACTTTTGCCGCTACCCAAATGGTGCACCGTCAGGCTGAATGGCCTGGTTTTGGGGATTTTGTTCATCGCCAGTAAAGTCGGTTTTGCAGATTGTCATCATTGTCATCCCATTTCTATACCAGAAACATATAGAGAATGTTTGAACATCTTTGAAACCACCAAATAATAAAACAACCAGGTTATAGTAGCTTTACCCATTGAACATGGTGGATCTTTCCATAGTTATTTTAGTTTACCAGAGGGTAGAAAGAGGTGTGAGAAACCTTGCAGCCTGTGATTCGTTTTTCATGGCGCAACGTCCATCTTTCGGGTTTTTTGTACATGATCTATCCCCTAATGGGAATCCGTACGCGGCGACTGTTCCCTATTGATGATCATCCCCGGACCATATGGGGAAACTAAGCCATGTTTTGCCCGTGACATATGCATATATCCATATATATATAATTATATATCCGGTATATCCATGTTTTTTCTTCAGTATTTGTCCCAGTCGAATGCCAAAGAACGAAATCAACGAATCTTCCATGCAAGAAATCTGTGAAAGGAAAATCCAAGCACATCAGTCCACAGGATTATCCCCCCTCCTTCAGCGAAGAGTGGAAACAGCTTAAAAAATCCAGCTTGTAAAGAGGCAGGACCACCTGACAAGCCGGCCGTACCGTTGAACCCGCGTTTAAGTGACGGTTTGGTCATCGTGGTTCCATGGTTACATGGCTATACAATCTTATCTCACCTCCTGAAAAAAACTGTTGAACATGGTTTAACCAAATATCCCATCAGTGTTCTGGTTATATGGCCATTTGTGATGGCACTTGACATCACATGTGCCATGCTCACAACATGCAGCATGTTTTCGGTGCAAGGTCATCCCATTCTGATCCGATGATGGCATTTTTTTCATTCATTTTCCCCAAAATCCCATGATAATTTCATCGCATTTCCATACTAAATGGATCTAAATGGTAAAAAAACAACTCGTATGTTCCGGTCATCTCCATGGTATGCTTGGACATCCATCATTTTGTCCCATGAAAACTTCGCAGCGAACAACAAACCTCCGAAGTCAACTGAATTAAAGCAATTCACCCACCTGCAGCTCTTATCATACGTTCTTTTGCAGATCATTCCCGGAATACTATTCCCATTCCAGCGACATCACAGTGACGTTCGGGCCCAGTCTGCCTGCGTTAAAAGATCCTTCTGCTCCTCCCTGACGGAAATGTCAGATGACTACATGACAAAAAACGCAAGTTGGACACATCAAAGTGCTTTATTTGTTTGATTTTTGTACTTAATCTGACTTAATCCGACGTAATCCGACTTAATCTGGCTTAATCTGACTTAATCTGACTTAATGTGACTTAATGTGACTTAATCTGACTTAACTTGTCTAGTTGCCAGGGTCATCCTCCTACGTAGGGTTGAAAATGAAAACTGTTTGAAACCACCAAGTACAGTAATCATGTGTGACCATTCATTTATCGCAGGTTTGATTCATTTTGAGCCATTTGCAAAACGTGACTCAACATGGGGTGAGGTCAGCACCCAGTCGGGGAGTATCCCCACCATGGGATTTGACCCAGAACAGATGGCATCGCCATTGGTTATCGATGAACACCCCTGCTACCAGATGCTACAAGCTCCTGGTTTTTCCGTATGTGGAGCCAAGTCATCACAATTCTTGATGGTTAAGAACGGTTAAGTGGTAACCAATCCCTTTTCTTTGTTGGAAAACGATGGAAAACTCATAACACTATGGCCGCCTCAACACCAGTCAAATCCTTCTCCATATGAGAATAGCTTTAAAAAAATACTATCCTAAAACAAACGATGGATAAAACAAGTGAACTGATAAACATCTCAAATTGGTCCACTTATCCTTGGGTAATCAAACACTGCAATGGACAATTCACCATTTGTAGATTCACATTTGATTACCAAGTTATAGGGAAATAATGGGAAATATGTATATATATATATATGCATATACAATATACCATATATATAATATATCATTTGTAATATATAACATATAATATAAAATATAATTACCAGTAGTACCGCACAAGGCGGTGGCGGAAGTTTCAAAAATAGGAAACCTATAGGAGAGATTGGTTGTTGTGAATCAGGGATGGCAGAGCGAAGCCACTGATGGACTGAAAGGTGCTTGATCTCTCTCTCTCTCTCTTTTTTTTTTCTCTCTCTCTCTTTTTCTTTCTGTTTCTCTATCTTTCTCTGGTTATCTACCTACCTACCTACTGATCTATCTGTCTACCTATCTATATGTCTGTCTGTCTATCTATCTACCTGTCTATCTATCTACCTACCTATCTATCTAGCTGTCTAGTTTTCTAGCTATCTGTCTATCTATCTATCTATCTATCTATCTGTCTATCTGTCTATCTGTCTATCTCTCTATCTATCGATCAAATTCTCTCTCTCTCTCTATATATATATACATCTGTCTGTCTGTCTATCTGTCTATCTACCTGGCTATGTCTCTACCCATCTATTTCTCTATTTGTCTTGGTATCTAACTATCTGTCTATGTGTCTATGTATCTATCTGTCTATCTCTCCATCTATTTCTCTCGCTGTCTCTCTGACTGTTTATCTATCTGTCTCTCTGTCCATCTATCCATCTATCTATGTATCTATCTATCTGTCTATCTATCTATCTGTCTGTCTGTCTATCTATCTATCTTTCTGTCTATCTATCATTTTTTTACTACACAGCTTGATGCACCAAACAAGTCTGCGAGACTTAAGTTGACAACATCAAGGACGAACCACTTCTGCGAAACTTCCTCCAATAATGGAAAGATCAGTGCTGCACTCACACCCTCGTGCCAATTCGTTCTGCGATTTTTCTGCCCCACCTATCTAAAGTACTGCGGCTGCGCAAAATCCTCTTAGCAAACCTACACTTCTGATACTCCAAAATGTAACCCCTCTCAGGAAATCAGCGCCCTGATCTCCCAACCTCTCTCATGAACATGTCTTTTGTCCTGCGCCTGCCACGGAAAATGCGTCTTTGCAGATCATCTGCAAATGTCCCATGCCTGCCATCTTTTGTCGAAATGCTGCAAAACCCTCATGTTTTGCGCACTTTTGACAAGATCCACGATCTCGTGCGCCTGCCACGCGAAACGACATCTGAGCCTCCAAAAGTGCTCCGAACCCCTAGTGTTTTGAACATTTTGACTTCGAAATGTGCTTCGCGCCACAACGGCGTGCACTTTTTCGACATCCGAACCTCCAAAAGTGGTCCGAACCCCTGGTGTTTTTAACATTTTGACTTCGAAATGTGCTTCGCGCCACAACGGCGTGCACTTTTTCGACATCTCAACTTCCAAAAGTGGTCCGAACATGGTGTGCTTTGTACATTTTGACTTCAAAATGTGCTTCGCGCCACAACGGCGTGCACTTTTTCGACATCGCAACTTCCAAAAGTGGTCCGACCATGGTGTGTTTTGTACATTTTGACTTGAAAATGTGCTTCGCGCCACAACGGCGTGCACTTTTTCGACATCTCAACTTCCAAAAGTGGTCCGACACTGAGGTGTTTTGTACATTTTGACTTCGAAATGTGCTTCGCGCCACAACGGCGTGCAATTTTTCATCTCTCATCTGGCCAGCTGGCTCCGCACCCGCCGCTTTAGCGAGCCTACTTTTCGACCCTCCGGAGCCTCAAATCATTGGAAAAACACAGTGTTTCGCGACTTTCCTACCTTTTCGCGCATCTGCATCTTCTTTCTTCTGACTCTTTCTGTTCTGATCTTCTCTCTTCTAATCTTTCTCTTCTCTCGGCCTCTGCCCTGCTCTGCTTTTCATCTGTCCATATTGTCGGAAGTTTGACTTCTAAACTTCCTTCGATTATACATATACTATTATATATAAAAGGATTTGCCATGTTTGATTACTGGAAGCTATGTCCATGGCTGCTCCAAAACGCGCGCTGTGTCGGAAACTGTCGGATTTCCCGCGCCTGAACGGGCTGGAAAAGGCGGCGACGACGCGTTGACTGAGAAGCTCCAACACCTCCGAAAGTCCGTAGGCGGGAGCCTGGCCGACGAAGGTTGAGACTGAAATGCGTTCCCGGAAAATAAGGGAAACACTGTGGGAGCGGCCATGTCGATGTATTTTAATACAATATAATATAATATAATATAATATGAGAAACTATGAGAATAATGTATATATATATATATACGCATCAAATGTATTATGATTAATGTTGTTGTTTGCTAATCATTATTAGTCTTCGTGCTACATCATATTTTCATGACATATCATGACCATGACATTATTAATATCATTATTGTTACTATGGTTACCATAATATATATGTAAATGATATTTCTCGCACCATGACCATTCCATCTATTTCTGGTGCGGTTTTAGCCACCTTACCACGATGTTAGATCTTCGCTTTGCGCAAGTTTTTTCGGGATCTTTCACAGCTTATGACCTTATGACCATGGTCACCGGCTATGAAAGTAACAAAAAGACTCGGTACCTGCATGAAATTTGGCAATTCTGATGATTGTGAAATACTTATCAAAGGATAGCTGTGGTTACAACTAACTAAGATACATTAAATCATCAAGATACTATAGGCCTCACCCAACATGTTCAATGGAGCACTGACCACATGCTTTTCAGGGGGATTTGTGGGTTCAAAGGCGATTTTCAACGGAGTTTGATACTGACTGCCCAAGCTTGCCCCACACTGCCCCAGAGGATGAAAACCACGAATCAAGTTGTACCTTGGTCTGTTCATATACGATATCGATCTTAGTTTCATCACTTTTTATGCGAATGGCGCAGCAGAACTACGTCACATCTCCGTCCTCAAAATTTCATAAAACCATCCAATCAAAATCCCATGACGGATCCATGGTGCTGGTATGTATGGTATATTAATGCTAACATGACTGGGGTATATTGATGATAAATGTTACCATATATAGCAGCAAAATGGATCCTACGGGAAATATGGGCTGTTTCCTTCCTCCTTGACACAAAATATGGATCTTGGGTCCCACTGATTCTGAAAAGGGATATCACTGGCATGAACCCTGACATCGTGATTCACGCGGCCTCAAACTGAGCAGTTCAAAGATAGGATAAAGACCCTCCGGGAATCAAACGTGTTGGAAAATCCAGCATGTTTTTTTTGTGGTTAAAACAATATAGTAACCCCCCATAGGATCCATGGTTTATACCATGGTTTATACCACCCATGTATATGGTGAATTTGGGAATGGTTTAATTATTCCCATAGGATCCATGTATGGTATATATGGTAACATTTACCATCAATATACCCCAAATGTTAGCATATATACCATAATGGATCCTATGGGTTAGTTGAATTTCCCAGCAGCCTCCCAGATAAATCATCGGGCATTTCCCGTGGAATCCCATAAGGGAATCACCCAGCAGGAAGAATGGCCATCTGTTTGCCATGTTTTCCCACATGTTCCACTGTTAATCTTTACTATTCTAACTGCATATATATATATATATGTGTATGTATGTATATATATATATAAATTCTACATGATGCCTTTCCGCTTTAGATACCGTGGTTGCAAGCAACCAAATGCTTTGTTTGAAGACCGGCCACCCCCAAATCCAGCTTGTTGAGAACATCCTTTCCCTCATTAAAACATCCATAGAATGGACGGAAAATACGTGAACATATCCCATTTCCAGACATAGCCAGATATCATATTCTTGGTTCTACATCCCATGATATTTCCAAAAGAAAAGTCCATCCCATGACATTCCCATCATATCCTATGAAAAATATCCATGAACCCCCTAGTTTTCGCATTTTTCCCTGAAGATCACCATGTGAGCAGTGTTCAAAACATGTCAACACGCTGTGTCGTAATGAGTTATACTGTTTGTTTTTTTAGGGGTTTTCCTATTGGGTTACTATACTCTCCATTGTATTGGTTAGCATAATCCCCGAACTAATCATCAATCAACAGGGCCCCTATGAACACGGCTCCATGGCCATGGTCCCGTCGTACCTCGCCATGTTCCAGGCAAACTGCTCGTTGACAGAAGCTTTGAATGGCCCTTCGCCTGGCCACTGCTGCTGGGAAGGACATCTGGCATTGGCAAGGATAAGATCAACAGAAAAGATACTTAGATACTGATACATTGTGATACTATGGTATGGTATGATTACCAATGTAATACCAAAGAATTGATATACCAAATAATAAAAATCTGGTTGGTGGTTTTTAACCATCTTGAAAAATACGAGTAAGTCAATGGAAAGGATGACATCCCATAGAGAAAATGGAAAATAAAAAATGTTTGAAGCCACCAACCAGTTGTATAAGTATAGTTCTCAATGTTCGTATGTAATGGAGATTAAGATATCATAAAGATTATCATGTCATAATAGGCAAATGATATCAAATGATCAACTATTTAGCGCGGCGATAGAGGGCAATGAAATCATTCTTTTCCCCAACAAAAATCCGTTTAGAAATCCTGCGGACGAGGGACACGGTGGAGCGGAAACTGCTGAACTTCCCAAAAATCCGAGAGACCAAAACCTTCAGGTCCTCCTCGGGGCCAAGATGCAGATGCAAAAGGTCGGATTCGGTGAAGCTACCATTCAAGGGAATTGAACATCTATATGGAGGTTTTCTGAAATGGGGGTCAGTCATCATCCATTCATAGATGGATTTTCCATGATTTTTTGTCCCATCCAGCTATTTGGGTACCCCCATTTCAGGAAGACCCCAGTTTCAGTTTCAACGAAAGTCAGATTTCACGAGCACAAGAAGTGCGAAAGTCACTGTGTCTGGTCGTTCACTTTGAGACGCTCAGCTTGCAACTCGTTCACGAGGGTCATCGGTCTCCATCAGCTCAACCAACTGTGTCACGAAGCGCTTGTCCTGGGCACTGCCATCTTGGGACCCATCGGTTTGTGTCTTTAGTAATCCTTTATATATATAATTTAATATCTGTAATAGTGAATAAACCCAGGCTGAAAAAATGAATCAATTAATCCAAGATATCCAAGTGTGGATCAGAATTGGCGGTAGAGATGGAAAACAAAGAAATTATATTGTAGTTTTTTGTAAATACACATATACTCTCCAGTAAACGAACCTAGCTATAGAAAATGGTCCAGTTCTAGATGATTTACCTATCTTCCTATAGCTATATAAGTCTACCAAAGGGTGTAAAGGGTAGCGTTTGAAGATTAACAAACGGTGTTTAAACAAAAATTGTGCTGTTTGAATTGATGAGGGGGTTTGCTGGGACCACATGAGTTTTCAAATCTGGACGATCCTCAAATCCCTACCATGAATTTTTGGGCAACATTACATCAGTGAATATGTAGGATCCAATTTTCCAATGGGAAAACCATGAACTCAATGGAGGTTTCAATGGGAACATGATCTACTGATGGGTTCAAAGAACCCATCAGAATATGAGTGAAAATTCCAACCAATCATTCCAAGTATGGTTGAAACATGTTGAACCACAATATTTTTTTGAAACCACCCAGCGGTGGGTGATGTTTCCCACAAGTTCGAATAGGTCAACCCTTGGAAACTAAGATGTCGATTCTCTGGTAAACTGAGATGGCCATGGCAAATCACCATGTTTAATCGGTAAATCAATGTATTACTAAATAATCTATAGGTGGGTCATTTTCTATAGCTATATGAGTTCACTGGAGGGTATATAGAATGCATGGATAACATCAACTATTACCATATCCCAACACTCATGCAACAAAACATGGCTGTGTCTAAACATGGAATATACCCACTAGAGTGTCATTTATAAGCGGGAAAAGGTGAACATATATGAAAATAAACCATTGGATTTTGAGGTGTTCCCTTCAATTTTCAGGTTTAAGCCCACAAAAAAAAATACATTTAAAAAAAAACATTGTGCCGGCAAGAGACCCCAAACAGGGGGGGTAAACAGATAATGTGCTATAATGTTGCTGATGATGTTAATGTCTCTATGATGATGTTGTTAATGATGATGATGATGATGATGATGATGATGATAGTGATCATGATAATGATAATGATAATGATGATGATGATGATGTTTATGATGACAATGGCTTGATTGATGATAGTGATGGTGATGTTGTTGGTGATGATGATGATGTTGATAATGATGATGATGATGATGATGGTGATGATGATGGTGAGAGGAAGATGATGATGTGGATGTTGAGGAGGAGGAAGATGATGAAGTTGAGGAGGATGATGTTGAGGAGGAAGACCGATCCCAAGACCGGGAAGCACACTTTGTGCGAGCCTGCGCAGTCGAAATGCACATGGACATTTCACAAGAGGCATTTTGCGCGGAAATTTACAGGGAAAATGCCGGACGCTAAGAACCTGCACAGTCGAAATGCACATGGACATGTCATAAGAGGCATTTTGTGCGGAAATTTACAGGGAAAATGCCGGACGCTAATCCCGGGGCAAGCATTTTGTGTGAGCCTGCACAGTCGAAATGCACATGGACATGTCATAAAAGGCATTTTGTGCGGAAATTTACAGGGAAAATGGCGGACGCTTCTGATACCACCTCGATTGAACGGGCCTTCACACCTACTGTAAGAACCCCTCAGTGTGGACACACTGTTTGGGGAATGACAACGAACCGAACTCAGCATGCCGCATGCCAGTTCACTGGGCCGTCCGACCAGTTCGGCTTCTGTCGCCAAAGTGGACTCCAACTCCTGTGAAAACTGCGGAACACGGTGGGTGCAGACTGGGTTGTACATGGGATGCCATTATTAACCATTAACTAACCATTAATTAACCATGAATTAGCCAATGATTATTATCATTATTAATAGTTGTTAACCATTTCTTGGCCATTATCAACCATGATTAACCCATGAGTAAACACTATGAAAACCATTGTTAATGATTATTAGACCATTAATTCGATTCAGTTGGATCATTATACCAGATTTCAATTAGTGGAACATTTAAATCATGATCATTCAGTCCGCTCCCCATTCTAGAGTACACAGCACCAAAACCAATTCACATCGGTTTTGGCAACTGCTCGATACTACGTTTTGTCGTGAATTGATGTGACTTGATCAATTCCATATCTCGACTGTACAGCTGGAGCTGTTTTGATCACTGTGGATGGTTTCGAAATCCACCACCAAAAGGATGCCCTTTTCCACCCCCCCCAAAAAAATATAGATTTGTTCATGGGATGCTTACCATCAACTGGTGAGTTCGCATGATTTCGCCACCTTCATCTCCCGTTTTTTCAGCGCACCTTGGTCTGCAGTAATTTCTGCAACAAATCGTAGACCAACTCCAAATGAGGCCAGGTCTCATCGGCTCGACCGAGCTCGGTTTCTTTGGAGATACAGTCATACTATATAGTGGCATACTAACTATATTATATATATATACGTATATCTCATAATATCCTATGTATAACTCATAGTATAACTATACTAACATAATATACGATGTATCAAATACACTAATATACACTCATAATGTGTATATATATAATATGTATAATATATATATATATATATACCTTCTGGTAATCAAACAAACATGGCTGGAAACTCCACCGATGATATTTGTGGCTGGAACTTCCATCTGTCCTCCACGATAAAAATTAGGGATACCTCATTGGGATACTCACTGTTTAAATTTGGCTTGTCTTCTCAATGAAATACCCTTTCTCCTTGGCCCAAGTTTGATTCCTCTTGAGATGCATCCCAAACATGACAAAAGGACAATTTCATCGATTCCAACATGGAAAACCATCGAACAAGGGAACCGTTCTTTTTGTTCAACATGCGAAACAAAAAGGAACACATTATTTGTTCGTTCTTTTTGTCACATGTGTGTGCGCTTTTCATCTCTAGTGGATTTGGTTGGTTCTATTTTTTTTTCTGTTTTGAATTGTCCAGAAGTCACGTCGAAACTGGCAAAATATGACGAACATGTGGGTTTAGCCAGAATGGAAGGCAAGGTCTGCTGACTTGAAACCATTCACGTCATCTTCAGTCAACTGAAAAAAAAATAGCAAGTAATTTCCATGTTCTGCGAATAAAATATAGTAATGCAACAACCTCAAAGTCGTAAGGCCATTTCGGTATTCCCCCACCATCCTCCAATTTCACCAGCTGGGATGGATTTGTTAAAAAAAAAACATAGGCCCTATAGCAAATCCATGGATTTCCATCATATCCTACATCTTTAAGGAAAATTCCTATGGTGAATTCCTATTAATATCCATCATATCCTACATATTCATATTGGGTTAATTAAACCATGGATATCCATCATTTCCTACATATTCCTACATATCCTACATCTCTAATTAAACCATTGGCTTGCTTCATCCATATTAATGCCCTGTTCATCGCTGCTATCCCTATGGACTATCCCGATGATCTCGGCAAGCGACCGGCTCCAAGTACGGTTCATCATCCTCTCCATCCAGCGCGTCCATGGGACTGCCTCAGGGCAAATCATCGCCCGAAAGAGGACTTCCCAAATGCTTTATACATTTTACTTATAGTAAAACACTGTTCATATTTATTCATACAGTAGAACAAAAAAACACTGTTCATATTTATTCATAGAGTAGGGAAAAAACACTGTTCATATTTATTCATAGAGTAGAAAAAAACACTGTTCATATAGTTCATATAGTAAAATAACATAACGCTGTTCATACAGTTCATATAGTAGGAAAAATCATAACACTGTTCATATAGTTCATATAGTACATATAGTACAATAACATAACACTGTTCATGTAGTTCAAATAGTATAATAACATAACACTGTTAATATAGTTCATATAGTACAATAACATAACACTGCTCATGTAGTTCAAATAGTAACAAAAACATAATACTTTTCATATAGTTCATACAGTATTATAACATAACACTGTTCATATAGTTCACATAGTAGAATAACATAACTGTTCATATAGTTCATATAGTAGAAAAACACAACACTGTTCATATAGTTCATATAGTATAATAACATAACACTGTTCATATAGTTCATATAGTAGAAAAAACATACCACAGTTCATATAGTACATATAGTACATATAGTACAATAACAAACACTGTTCATATAGTTCATATAGTACAATAACATAACACTGCTCATATAGTTCATATAGTACAATAACATAACACTGTTAATATAGTTCATATACTCGAACAAAACATGATACTGTTCATATAGTTCATATAGTTCATATAGTTCATATAGTATAATAACATAACACTGTTCATATAGTTCATATAGTAGGAGTAACATAACACTGTTCATATAGTGTTAACAAACATAACACTTTTCATATAGTTCATATAATGTAATAACATAACACTGTTCATATAGTTCACATAGTATGATACCATAACAAAACACAACAATGTTGAAAATATTGTATACTTTACTTCTTGCATATTCAATGTGTATATATATATATATGGATATATACATACAGCTGTGGGAGAAAAGCCTCTGGGCCTCAAAAAAAAGGCTCATCTTTTCTCCGTATGTCATAGCCCTGGCCCTTTATCGGAGAGGGGATGAGTCAAGTCATTGGGTACCCCAATGATCGGCGAGTTTTCATGATGGTTAGCCTCTGGTAAACTGTTACGATTAACTATGGAAAATCACCATTTTTCATGGGAAAACACACTATAAATGGCCATTTTCAATATAATTGGATGGCTAATGATTGTTAATACTAAGAATAGACCAGCGAATATTGATGAATCTATGTGTTTTTTGGAGTAGCGTGCGATTTTGACTCATATCCTAAGAGATACATGACCATTCACTGGGATGCCCACGTAAAGCTACGAGTCTGGGTGTGAAATGCAATCTACTCTGATGGATACGCATGGAGATAAGTTCTTCACCAACGGGCCAAGTACCAGCCTGCCAAGCTAGGTATTTCGGGATAGCTACCTTTTTATTTGTACTAATCATCAATTCCACAGCAGTTATAATTCATCCAGATAGGAGCACGCGATGATAATTTTGGCTATCACCCTAGTAAACTAACATACATGTGGAAAACTGGAAAACCCCTCGTTTCTGGAACTGATCTACTTCAGTGGCAGGTTTTCCACATCTTTTTCTATCTTTACAGTGATTTTCCATGTTCCCTTGTTACTGGTCACCCAATGCCATCACCATCCCCAAGTCATCACCATGGGCCATGGCCACACTGAGTCCACTGAGACCACTGTGTCCCGGACGCTCTTTGTGGATGAGTGTCCGAAAGGCGTTGGACTTCACGACTTTCACCTGCCGCTGGCCACGCCACGCCACGGCGTGCATCGCACCACGGCGTTTCGGGTGGCCAGGGTGGCCAGGGTGGTCCCATGGGTCCCATGCCCGACTTCAGAAATCCCATCAGTTCATCCAAAACCATCCCATCATGTGGGAGTTCATATGGGTGTATTATGAAAAACCATTTCCAATAAAGTTGGAACATCATGATGGGATGTCAACTAATAATCTAATATATTAGATTATTAGATGACATCCCATCATGATGTTCCAACTTGAGTTCCGACTTACATCGACTTACTATGGGATTTCTTAAGGGACTTTTATGGCACTTCTTGGGATATCTGACTTACAGATCTTACAGGGGACCTTTTTGTGGGAGTTCACCATGGAACTTTTTATGGGACTTCAATAGGAAAAACATCTCCCCACAGCCATCAAATGGGGGAAAAAACCATGACATCATGACCAACCAATGTGGAGAGGTACCCTACAAACCCAGCCGCCATGGATTACTGTACCACTTAAGGAATCGAACAGCTGTTTTGGCGTTGAGGAGGGAACATCCAATTTGAGGGGCTGATATACTGGAATCCACATTTGGGTGTGTCTGAAAATGGGGCGGTATACCCCCATTTTAGGATACCCAAACTTCAGACCCGTTTTAAGACTGAGTTTCTTATTGCACCTGGTCCAAGTAGATCTTAATATGAGTTTTTCGGGTTTGGTCATTCGTCACGTTTAGATATACTGGCTACTGTAACCACCATCCCCCCGGCTATCCTAGCTGATGTGGTGCTCAGATAGCAATGCTGTGGACCCGCATATATTGTTGGCTAATGATTAATGTCAAATTTAATATTATAATATATTATATATCATTCATATATCTGGATAAATGATGGTAAATTATCATAGTTCACCAACCTGAAAACAAACCAAATGGGGATGATCCCCTCAATCCTAACCGTCCTAACCGTAATCAGGGTTTCACTGGGCCCCGCACAGCAGCCGCGATCAGCTGGAGGGCGTTCGCCCTATGGAAAAGTGGAAGAGGTTGAACAAAAACCCAATTTGGGAACATGGTTCATACTGTGCAATAAATCCTGCACCCGTTGGTAGATGGTTTGTCCCCTTATTATCCTTTTTATCGTGTTTGACAGTTAGTCAGCGTCGTGAAGAGCGTATGTATTACTGCATGTATATCGTAAAGTTGCATGTACACTTATATTGACGACTATTGATGTGCCAACTGAGGAACGCAATTTATTTTGATGATTATGGAATGTATATTACAAATATATACACAAGTTGATCATAATATCATATATGTTAATCATATATGCTAATCATATACATATATCATGTGTATATATGGGTATGTCTCGAAATGCCGCATGCAGTCCAGGATGTTTGTCTAGAGGGCATGATTCGTGGGTATGATTCGGGGTATGATTCGTGGACATGATTCGTGGGTATGATTCGCGGGCCTTGATTTAGTGTTTCCCCGCATCCTCCATGTATGGTTATTTACCCACACTTACCCCCAAAATGTTTCAAATGTTGGTGATTATACCATACGTGAAGCGCTTTGGAGCTGGCATGCTGTTGCCGCTGTGCGTGCTGCTGTCAGAGTGGTGTGTGCGCTTTGGAGCCGGCATGGTGGTGCCGTTGGAGTGCCGCTGCAAGGTGCTGGTGCAGGGTGTTGCTTGCTGTCAGAGTGGTGTGTACAGTTTGGGGCGGGCATGCTGGTGGCGCTCAGGGTGCTGCTGCAGGTGCTGCCTGAAGGTGATGCTTGAGCTTTTTCAACCATGCTTTGGAGCGGGCATGCTGGTGAGCGGATGCCGGTGGAAGGTGCTGCTTGAGGGTGCTGTCGAGCTACCCTGCTGGTGCTGCTGCAAGGGTGGTGCTTGGGGGTGCTGCAGGGAAGGTACGTAATGTACCCGACTCGTGCTGCAAGGGTGCTAGTGAAGGGTGCTGCTGCACGCTGCTGCTGCAGGGTGCAGCTGTTAGAGTGGCGTGTCCGCTCTGGAGCTGGCCTGCTGGTGCCGCTGCAGGGTGCTGCTTCAAGGTGCTGCAGTTAAAGTGGTGTGTGCGCTTTGGAGTTGGCATGTATGTGCCATTGCAGGATGCCGCTGCAGGGTGCTGCTGTCGGATTTTTCTCAGAAGCAGCAGGAGGCGTATGATTCGGGCATGATTCGGGGTATGATTCGGAAACCACCTGCCAGGTGAGGGTTGTTAGATTTTATCACAGTTGTTCTCCTCCTCCGGCTCCTCCTCCTCCTCATCCTCCACCTCCTTCTCCTCCTCCTCTTCCCTCTCCTCCAGCTTCTCCTCCACCACTACCTTTGCATCCACACATGCATGTTCACTTCCGCCTTGCCAACTCTTCGCCAAGCCCTCCGCCAACTCCCGCACGCAGTGGGCACTGCTGGACCTCAACTGCAAGGGTCTGAGCGCACTGGGCACCGCTGGACCTCAACCTGGGACCTTCCGAGCTCAGTGAGCACCGTTGGACCTCAACTCCGAGCTCAGTGAGCACCACTGGACCTCAACGGCCAGATAGCATGCCAGAAGATATGCCAGATAGAACGCCAGATAGAATGTCAGAAAGAATGCCAGAAGATATGCCAGATCAAGTGCCAGAATGTTTGCCAGATAGAATGCCAGAAGATATGCCAGATAGAATGCCAGAAGATATGCCAGATAAAATGCCAGAAGATATGCCAGATAGAATGCCAGAAGGTATGCCAGATAGAATGTCAGATAGAATGCCAGAAGGTATGCCAGATAAAGTGCCAGAATGTTTGCCAGAACATATGCCAGATAGAATGCCCGATAGAATGCCAGATAGAATGTAAGAAGATATGCCAGATAGAGTGCCAGAAGATATGCCAGATAAAATGCCAGAAGATATGTCAGATAGAATGCCAGAAGATTTGCCAGTAACAAAACGTATAGATGTCATGGTGGGGATAACTCGAAGTAAAGTAATTTGAATTCAGGAAGCTTTGTTGCTTGAGTCTCTTTTTCCCACCGTCAACCTACCACGATTGCTACTTAATGGCTGCAATGGCTCGACCTGCCAGACGCCCTTTGACCGGCACTGAATATGAAGAATATAAAGATCTCAATATACATCTATGATTTATATCCGCCGACCTGCCGGCGTGTCTTCTGGATGTTCTTCTGATGTATACCTTTAGCTCAGCGACTCAGCTACGCTTAGGCTAACGTTCCTCTTCGACGGATTTTTGGTTTGACTGCCAGCCAGCCAGCCAGCCACAGCCGGAGTCATCAGCCTCATCAGCCTCATCAGCCTCATCAGCCTCATCAGACAACATGTCAAGTACATTAATCAGAGCCAGCCACCTAGCCACCTAGCCACCTAGCCAGCCACGCAGCCAGCCAGCCGCAACTAGCCAGCCCTATAGCCAGCGACCCAACCAGCAGCAGCAACTGCCCTAGCCACGCAGCCAGCCAGCCGCCAGAGCCAGCCACAGCCACCCAGAGCCAGCCAGCTTAGGGATTAGCCTGGGATCATCGGATCTGGCCAACACTGGTCAATTAGCTTGTCAGGTCCATTAAAACAAGCGAGGCCAATGCAATCCCAACAATCCCAAAAGAAGCATTCATAATCGTGATTTTTGGGGTATGATTCGGGGGTATGATTCGGGGGCATGATTCGGGGTATGATTCGGAGGTATGATGCGCA